GAAATTTTGGTTTTAGTTCCTACTAAGCATTTTCAGCCCCACCACCAGAGACTTTTTCATGTTTCCTTTCTCTGTGCAGGTTCTGGCTTACAAAGTCTTTCTTCCAGTGTGCAAAGCACCCCAGAGAAAAATGGCCATTCGGATGATGCATCAAGAAGTCCAGAACTCCTACAAGAGTTCCTAAAATCTGGTCCAAAAAAGGAGCTTCTTCGAACATGTTTTGATAAAGACAAGAAAAATTCAGCTTGTTCAAAGGGCAAAATGACTGAAGCTTTAAAGTTGGGTAACAAGACACTCAAGAAGTCAGAGTTGAGAAAGGCCTCATCCACTGCCAATAGTCAGCCTTCCTCTAGGAAGCAAAACAGAAAGGGGGAGAATCCAATGAGGGTGCTCCCAGCTTCTGAGCAGGCTTCAGAACATGCATTTTCTAACTCATGGATATGTAAAAATTCTGCTTGCAGAGCTGTTCTGTCCATAGATGACACATTTTGCAAAAGATGCTCATGTTGTATCTGTCACTTATTTGATGACAACAAGGACCCGAGTCTTTGGTTGGTATGCGCCTCTGAATATGGTGAGGGGGATTATTGTGGGTTGTCATCCCATATTGAATGTGCTCTTCAACATGAGAAGGTGGGGGTTGTTGATCTTGGCCAATTGATGCAGCTAGATGGTAGTTATTGTTGTGCTTCTTGTGGTAAAGTTTCTGGTATACTTGGGTAAGTAATTGGCTTGCAGTTCATGCCTCATTCAACTTGCTGAATTCTCTTCTCTCCCTAAACTTACAAACTGCTTTTTATTTGCATAGAAGCTGTTACAAATCATGTTTCAAGTTTGTTCTGGTTGACATCTTAATTTGTTCAGAAACTTTGTGGTTTATTGTCTTTGAACTGTCCATGTTTATCATTGTGTCAAATTTTGGACAGAAAGCTGGGGAAATCTTTTCCTATTTTTTTGTTAACATGAAAGTGACATTTCCATCAACATACTTATTGCTGCTTGTAACAAATTTGATGTTGGAAAATGATCTCGATGTGATGAATCAGGTTTTAGAGAATGTGGTAACTATTGGTTATTTCTTTCTGGTATAGGTTTTTCTGTTTGGCCTGATAGGATTGGTGTGATTTACTTGCCCCTGACAGATGTTGGAAGAAGCAGCTAATGATTGCTAAGGATGCTCGCCGCCTGGATGTACTCTGTTATAGGATATACCTGAGTTACAGGCTCCTAGATGAGACTTCTCGCTTTAAAGAACTGCATGAGTTTGTCAAAGATGCGAAGGCTAAACTGGAAACAGAAGTGGGTCCTGTGAATGGGGTTTCTGCCAAAATGGCAAGGGGAATTGTTAGCAGGCTTTCTGTTGCTGGCGATATACAGAAATTATGCTCTTGTGCAATTGAAAAAGCAGATGAATGGCTGGCGATTGTGTCTAATACTAATCCAAAGTGCCAAGGTTAGAACCCACAATAGCTTCCTCTGGTTCTTATTGGTTATTTTGAAGTTATATGAGAAACTTTTTTTTTTTTCCTTTTTGGGCAGATTCACGTCCTACTGCTTGCAGGTTTCTATTTGAAGAAGTGACATCGTCATCTGTTCTAGTTATTCTAATTGAAGTGTCTACTACATCATCCGAGGATATTAAGGGCTACAAGCTCTGGTATTTCAAGAGCAGAGACGAGACACATACAAAGGAACCTATCTGTGTCTTTCCAAGAACTCAGAGAAGGATTTTGATATCTAACCTGCAGCCATGTACTGAGTACACCTTTCGTGTTGTATCTTATACTGATGCTGGTGACTTGGGCCATTCTGAGGCAAAATTTTTCACTAAGAGTGTAGAGATAATTCAGAAGAATTCTAATTCAGCAGTTGTGATGAATCGGAAGCAGGAGAACACCCTTATTGGAGGAAGTTCTTTAGGTTCAAAGAAGCTCACAGCAGTTGGTTCTTCTGGATTTAAGATTCGAGACCTTGGAAAGATCCTGCGTCTCGCTTGGGCTCAAGAGCAAGGCTGCTTTGAAGGGTTTTGCAGCGCTGATATAGAAAAATGCTGTGGGGCAAGCAAAATTATTAAGCCTGAAACACGAAAAGTGGATCATATGCCATCTGTTTCACGTGGGCTTGACTTAAATGTTGTCTCAGTGCCTGATCTAAATGAAGAACTTACTCCTCCATTTGAGTCCTCCAGGGATGAAGATAATGGTTGCACTTTAGAACTGGCTGTGGAGGCAGATGATGATGCTGCTTCGCGTGAAATGGAGAAGAATGGATTAGCAAGATCACATGGTAGTGGTGATTCCCAGACCTGGACTAATGGGCCAACAGGAGAAGTGCCTGCTGTTGATTCCCATACAGAGTTGTGCAGGAAAAGAGCTGCAAACTCAACTGAAGAGACACATGACTGTGATAGCACTCTCATAAATGGGTCACCATTTCGTATCTCCAATGATTCTGGTTCTTTGGATAAGAATTTCGAAACCTGCGTGAAGATAATCAGATTGCTAGAATGTGAGGGTCATATTAACCAGGAATTCAGATTGAAATTACTAACATGGTTTAGCTTGAGGTCAACGGAGCAGGAACGAAGGGTGGTCAACACATTCATTCAAACTCTGATGGATGATCCAAGTAGCTTGGCAGGGCAGTTGATTGACTCATTTTCAGATATCATATCTAGCAAGAGGCCACGTAATGGATTCTGTAGTAAGCTGTGGCACTAAATTAGTGCAGGGCACTCTAAACTACAGGATTGCAATTCGCTTCATGATTATTCTTTTTTCTTTTGATAAACTTACCCCTGATTGTTTCACCAACTTTGTACAGCCATTTTTTCCTTATCACTTTCTAAAGGTGATTCTTTGTATCGCGGACTAGATTGTCCGGCTAAAAGATTTGGCTCGCCGATTGCTGGCACAATTCCCAGTTTAGTTGAAGAGAGGCCTTGGACGTACGTGAGGTTTCATCTTTGTAGAAAGGCATTTTTCATTTCCAAAAACATCCTAGTTACATTTGAAGCATTAGACTTTTAATCATGGAGAAATTATATGCATGGATGCTTTTGTTATTGCCTTCTTTAATTCAACGAAGGGTATATGAATTAATTTCGACTTTCATTTGGTTAGATATTTGTTCTAACGATAGTTTCAGTTGCATGAGAATTTTTCTCACCGCCCATGCAAAGAAGCGTTACTCTTCCTAGGTGATTTGGTGTTCAGTAGTTACACCTAAATATCTACAGTACATTCTTCATTAGTATTTTCATTTTATTCCTCTTAACAGTAATTGACCGTTCAATTCTTTTTATCACATACATAACTTTTTTATTTTTTTGTTAATTATTATTATATAAAATTGTAAACATGATTTTAAATTTATGTACAATAAATAAAAATTATCTCCAAAAAATTAAAGTCTAATTTTTTGCCAACTCATATTTGTAATAAATTATAGTCCGAGGGTTAGGGTTAAATAGAATATAAAATTATATTAGTTACCGTTGGATTTGACTTTATGCTAAAATTAAATAAATCTAGCATATATCAAATATAACAAATACAATAAATAAAGAAATCGAATAAAGGACAAAAAATTTATACAACAACGTGCCCAAAAACTCTTGGGTCTATCAAACAGCTCTTTTCCTATTTTCTCTACCATTTTATTTTTTACCTAAATATATACAGTACATTCCTTGTTATTGTCATTTAATTCCTCATTTTTAATATTTTTAATTTTTAATTTCAATTCTATTTTATTATTAAAACTATCAGAATTATCATTATTGAGTAAATATATTTATATTGATATTCACATATATTAAAATTTATAAAATAATATAATATTTTCAAAAATTATTTTTCTTAGATATTTTTCATAAATTAAAATAAATAAATTTAACCACCAGCACGATACCAAACGAAATAAAATTTACTCCCATTGCCGTGAATTGATTATCACTGAAAAATTTTAATCACAAATGCAATAAAAAAAAACTCGCCCTTCAAAAACTTCATTAACATAAGTTTTATTTTCAATAAAAATAATGAATGAAATTTACTTTTATAATTGCATTTAATTTAATGAGTTATTCTATCCAAAAATAATGAATAAAATCGAATATGTAAGTTGTAACTACGATAAATTATTTTTAAAATGCAATTTTAAGATAGATTTAAAATTAAATTAAAAAAAAAAAAGGCGATTGGCAATGGCGAGAAGCCAAGAGGCAATGGTGAGAACCAAAGGAGTCATTGATAATGACAAGAACATAGAAGGCGACCGACAATGACGCAAACCCAAGGAACGATTAAAAGTAATGAGATCTAAAGGGCCAACCGGCAAGGGCGAGAATCCGATGGGCTATCTGCAGCAACGAGAACCAGAAGGCGACCTATAGTGGCAAGAAGCTAATGTGCGAACGGAAGTGGTGAGAATCCAATGGTCAGTCGATCGTTCAAGAGCTTATTAAACCTTAGGTTAATTTTACACTTTCATCTAGCCTTACTTTTAAGGATCAAAATTATTTTTTGCAGCAACTAATGTTTTGAGTTACCGACTTTTTTATTCTTTACAATAAAATACTATGAAACATTAACTGTTTTCGGTAATATGACAAATAAATAAATTATTTTTTAATTAATTAATTTGATATTTCATCATATTGATATTAATTAATATAAATATTTAAACACTTAAAAAAATATAAATATGTAAATTATATTTTTCTCCCTTACATTACATCGTGAATCTCTAGCTCATAGCATTATAATTCTTTCAGAGCATTTATAGGTGGGGATTACTTCTTAACTATGCCGATTATCTAGTGTACATTTAAAAAATAAAAACAGGTGGGTGATTTTTGAAATCTTGTATGTCAGATACGCCGCGTGGACGAACAGCATAAAACGTTGTCGTTTTTGTTCTAGAAAGATTGATTTGAGCCATTAATGTTATCATTCGGACAACTGAAACATGAGGCTCACAATGGCCGACCGCGAGCTTCTTATACTTTAATTTTGATAACAATGAACAAAAAGAAAAGGGTTGTCTCCTTTCCTTCCGCTCTAAAATGCAAATTCTTCATGCTACATCTTGGCCTTATCTCTCCTTTCAAACTACAAAGCAACATTCAAAAGGAGGTAATACTCCATCTGCTTCATGTTGTCAACAACTAATGAAACTAGTTTCAGTTTTTACTTGTTACTCTCTGTTCCTTTGTTGTAGGACTGCTTCTTGAGAGATGTCTTCAACCATCAACTGCCAACTGCTTCTTTCAGCTTCAGAAGCTGGAAAGGTCGATATGGGTATCACATAAACGGTCCATTTTTAGCTGCTTTGCACCAAAAGCTGCCTCTGTTGAAGGTAATACTCCATATCTCATCCAAAGCAAAACCTAGGAAGGCTGAAACTTTCTCTTTCTACTTTATTATAAAAATCCAACACGTGCAGTGCTTTTCTTTCCAAGCCATAGAGATTTTTTAAGCTGAAGACATTACCGGGAAGCACGGTTATCTCTTTGCATTTTTAAATATATGGAATGGCTTTAAAATGGCTGATATTTGCTGTTATGTTGGAAAGAAGTAGTAGTATTTTATTTGTGTTTGTATTTCTTATGGGTCTTTTTACTATTTGTTTTTTGGCAACCACCTGAAAATCTATATCCAAAGTTTTGTGGCTGTCAAATCTGCAATTTTCTCTTTCCTTTTTGTGTTGCAAAGTCAGAATATAACCTATTCTCTTATAAAAACTTGAATGTCTTCATGCAGGGCATGCTTAATTTTGTTTCTTGAGTCTTGAATTAAAGTGAAATAATTACTTTAATAAATAAAATATTTATGTAAAGATTTACCTCTGTGAGGCTGGGTGGTAGGAGATCAAGTCATCTTGTTGCCTTATTGCTGTTATCACACAAAGCAACCTTTTGACCCCCATTTTTTTTGCCTAATATGGTTGGTTTAGGAGTAATATTATTGCTTAAGGTGTTTTCTGGATTTTATTTTAAGTCATCTAAATTTTAATTTGGTTGATGGCAGCTGTTTCTTCAGCAACATCAATTGGAACAGCTGAGGGTGATGTATTAAAAGCTTTGTCTCAAATCATTGATCCGGACTTTGGAACAGATATTGTCTCCTGTGGTTTTGTGAAAGATCTGCTCATTGATGAAGCTTCAGGAGAGGTCACTTAGAAAATATGTTTGAAGATTTCTTAAAATATCCTAAAAACAAAGTGGAAAAAAAAAAAAACACTTGTTAAGAAGTTTCAACTTCACATTTCAGGTTTCCTTTGGCTTGGAACTCACAACACCAGCATGTCCAATCAAGGACATGGTAAATGACACAATCACCATTGTTTGATCAACAATTGACCTATGTTTGGAATGGTAGACTTTTGCTTCATATGTTCACTTAAAAATAATTAGTAATGAAATCTGCATCCTCTTTTGAAAAGTGAAACTTATTTAGGCTATGTTGGTTGATTATTTTTCTATTTGCCCGTTGTTTTCTATTTTTTTATGTTTTTCTTTTTGCTTTCCACTCAATTTCAGCAAGAACAAGAAAAAAAGAGTCAAAGCATCAACCATAGAGAGGGAGCCTTAATTTTCCTTTCTATTTCTGGCTTTTCCATTGTGCACATTGTTCTTTATGGACATGTATGCAGACTATTTTTGGGTGATGCATCGTCAATGATCTATTTCATTATGTTGCCTCCACATGCATTAGCAAATGAAAATAGTTACGATCTTTGTGTACGGTAGTGAAACAGAAAGTCTTACAAGATTTTTAATGCATGACAGTTTGAGCAGCAAGCAAATGAGGTGGTGGCTAGGCTTGCCTGGGTCAAAAAGGTCAATGTGACCATGTCAGCACAACCAGCAAAACCTATTTTTGCTGGGGAACTTCCAGCAGGTCTGCAGAGGATTTCAAATATTGTGGCAGTTTCAAGTTGCAAGGTAAACTTCCACAACCATTTGGTTATTGTCTTTATGAATTTATTGGTAGGTAAATACGTTTATATCTGTTGTGCGCTTGCTAGCCATGTTGTCTGTCCTGTGGGAACTTAAACTAATGTTGATTGTCTTGCTTGATTTTTTTTCGTAACTCCTGTTTGTAAAAAATTCTATAGGGAGGTGTAGGAAAATCAACAATTGCTGTAAATCTTGCATATACTTTGGCTGGAATGGGGGCTAGAGTAGGTATTTTTGATGCTGATGTTTATGGACCAAGTTTACCGACAATGGTCTCCCCTGAAAACCGATTGCTAGAGATGGTAGTATTCGGAACTTGAAATTTATTTTATTTGCGCATTGGTGCTCTTCTGACTCTTTAAGTCTTACTGTAGAACCCAGAAAAGAGAACCATCATTCCAACTGATTATTTAGGAGTTAAGTTGGTATCCTTTGGATTTGCCGGACGAGGTCGTGCAATAATGCGAGGTCCAATGGTTTCTGGGGTCATCAATCAACTTCTGACAACCACTGAGTGGTATGTGCCACTGAATATGCTATTTGAGTTTGATTAGAAAAATTTTGATGAACTTACAACTGTCTAAAATTTGTTTCTGCATTGTTTTAATGAATATGCTTAATTTTTATCTTGTTAGAATTTATAACTCTCTGGAACCTTTTCACTCTGAAAACCTGATTGCTTCTACTTTATAGGGGAGAGCTTGATTATCTTGTTATTGACATGCCTCCTGGAACTGGTGATATCCAGCTTACTCTATGCCAGGTTCTTTTCTGCCTTAATACCAAATTTTCTGTCTAATTTTTCATATGTTTCTTTTCATAATAGATAATTTAATTATTATCATATTGTCAAGCATACTGCACAGCCATGTGGAGATATATAGCTTGCAGGATCCCCCTTTTTGTACATTATTATAGTTGATGCATGTAATGCAACCGATCATCTTTTCTTAAACCCAGTGCTTTGGTGTTTAATGTTGCTTAAAATGAATGTCAGGTAGTCCCATTAACAGCTGCTGTTATTGTTACCACCCCTCAGAAGCTAGCATTCATTGATGTTGCGAAAGGAGTTCGCATGTTTTCGAAGCTTAAGGTTTCCCCTTATCTTACAACCTAGTTGTACTTTACAAAGAAACTGATGAGTATCATGCAAAGATTATCTTTTATGCCATATAATTGCTTAGCTTTAAACCAATTCATATGCTTTACCTGCTTTTAGACATATTTCAACGTGCATTTCTGAAAGTATGATTTGCAAGTTTATCAGTAGGTGAAACCTTCTTTCATGCTTCATATATTCACATAGGGTATTATTGTTAATGTATGTAGGTGCCATGTGTTGCTGTGGTTGAAAATATGTGCCACTTTGATGCGGATGGGAAACGCTACTACCCATTTGGTAGAGGTTCAGGCTCTCAGGCATGCACCATTATCCAGAAGTTAAATCATTCCTTATTGATAGTAAAATAATTTACAGTGCTGATACTCAGCTCATTGTCAGTAGATCTTTTTTGCACAAAATAAAAACTGCATAACTGACACTTCATTGGCTTTGCAGGTTGTCCAGCAGTTTGGGATCCCTCATCTGTTTGATCTTCCCATTAGACCAACTGTATGTCCTATGATTTTCTGTTAGTGCTTAGCTAGTGAAGTGTACTTGTCTGTTGCATACTTGAGAGTGCTCTGTTATTAATTGGTCAGAAAGCATTGTCGCATCAGCTTTTCCTCTGCATTTTCATGATGCATGTCTAGTAAGTTTCATCTTCATTTAATTATGTGACAAACACTCTTCTATATGTTGGATAAATTCACATGTAAGCATTTATTTTATCTTTCCACGAGTTTTAATCTTATCGAGCAAGCCTTAAGACTCTTATATGCAAAGTTTTATTGCTTAATAGATTATTGATCATTGATATGCTTCTTTTTAACTACATTCTATTTTTATTTATTAAGCATTATAACAGAATGTGTTGAATGTGCTGGAAATCCTAGTAAAGTTTATAGTTGATTACATTTAATTTTTGCAGCTTTCTGCTTCTGGTGATAGTGGAATGCCTGAAGTGGTGGCTGATCCTCAAGGTGAAGTTGCCAAGACATTTCAGAACCTTGGAGTATGTGTTGTGCGACAGTGTGCCAAGATTCGCCAGCAAGGTACTTATATTGTCTTTTTTTTTTTTTAATCTTTTTCTGGTACTTGATCCCTTTCAAGTTGCCCCTGATGAAAGAAATGCTAATTGTGTTCATCCTCTTTGGTTCTAGTATCAACAGCAGTTACCTATGACAAATCCATCAAGGCCATAAAGGTTAAGGTACCTGATTCAGAGGAAGAATTCCTTCTGCATCCTGCAACAGTAAGAAGGAATGACCGCTCTGCCCAAAGTGTGGTACGGGGGATTTTTTGTTTTAATAGTTAATTGATTTTATGTAAATCTTTCTGGTATATATATATATATATATATATATATATAAAACAAAGCCTGCTACTAACATGATTGATAATTGTGATAATATCACTGTATTTTTTTTATGGTTATCATTTCTTGGGAAACAACATGAGCAGCACCGAATGAGTTTCAGTTAAATAAAAGCACATGTACAGCACATACGTATCGATAGCCAAAACAGAAATAAAGATTCTTGATGTCTGATATTTTCATGCAGATAGGCTCATAGACAGAAATGCATCATAATCTCTTCTAGAGTAAGTTTGCTCTTCAGAATTGTCTAACAAATTATTTGCTACTATATTGGCCAAAAATGATTATTTGCTACTATAGCAGTTTGACTTGTTGCTGTGCAGCTTATGTCATAAGCACAAAAAAATCCACAAATAAATTGGAGTGTAAGACAAGATGAAAGAAACTCAAAGTCCACAGTCAAATTCATATGCTTTGTAGGCTTAACCAAGTCAATGTATTAATCTAGATGGTAGAAGCAATCAAAATCCTTTGTTAGATTGACCAAAAATTTGGAGCTAAGAACATTTTCCTTTCTAGCAATCTAAATGCTATTCTAATTTCTAGACCATTTGACGAATTATCTGAGCATATTGTTACTTTGAAAGAAAAAAATAAGCTTGACGAGTCCTCCTGCATGGTGGAACTCAGGTGTCACTGCAGGCTTCAAGTCTTTGTTCTGTGCCTTCTTCCCTGTACTTTTTTTTTTAAAATTTGTTTCATCCTTTTTTTTTTTTTCCCTTTGGTCATTCTTTTTCTTGGTTTAAACAGGATGAGTGGACTGGGGAACAAAAACTGCAGTATGGTGACATTCCAGAAGATATTGAACCTGATGAAATTCGGCCCATGGGTAACTATGCTGTGTCAATAACATGGCCAGATGGATTTAGCCAGGTGACTCGACTTATTCAATGTTTCTTTTGCGATGGATGACTATGATTTTTGTTACAATTGTACAGAGTGATAGGTGCTATCGCCTGGCAAGAAATTGTCAACCTACCAACCTAATGCCAACAATAAGATGATGACTAACAACTCAACATCAGTGGGGTTCCGGAAATTTTGATTTTCAGTTGAAAATCATTACGTAATTAGGACTAAACCAGATGATGGAGTAGCCAGTATGGATACTACACTTGCATGCTTTTGGCTTAATCTTCAGTATTATCAATTACTAATAAAACAGATTGGCTGGTAACCTAGCAGTTCAACTGTGGAAAAAGGAAGCTGGTGGTTAACAAGTGATAAACTTTTGAGTAATGCATGTCTTGAGCATTTTCAGTGGAAGAATGGCCCACATTGACATTTAGAAACTCATATTTTCCCCTTTAATAAATTCACATTTATCAATATGTACTTGCCGGCTTGCACTTAGTGACCCAGGGAAATCACATGGAGCAGGATTGATTGTTGGTATAGTATTTTAAGTCTTTTCATTATGCATTAGAAATAGGGGAAACTGTGGATTTAACTCATAAAATGCTCAGCGACAAAGTTGGTATTAAGCAGTTATGTTTTTCATTCTTATGCGTCGATATCATTTTTTTTTAATTTGTGTCATTTCACAGATTGCTCCCTATGATCAGCTCCAGATGATAGAGCGTTTAGTTGATGTTCCTCAACCAACACCTGTGCAATCATGATAATTTCCTCTTCACTTGTGGCGTATTTTGATCGACACCTTGATTCCACCAAACAAGGCCTGTCTGCTGTGTGCATTCTCCGACTGTTGGGGTCAAATGAAACTAAAGGGAGGCTAGGATTCACAGTTACCTCGATTGTAAAAACTAGAGCTTAAATGTGATTCTAGGCATATATATATATATATATATATTTATATGTATATGTACACCATAATTTTACAAGCAAAAATGGATACCTCTCCATTTCTATAAAATTTACTCCTCTCCATTCTCTGTAATAGCTTTGGTTGACACTGCTACAGTTACGTTTACCATATAGATACAAGGACAACATATTACACAAAATTTCATTCAAACATAAGAGGAACCATTGGTAGAATTAGCAGTTGACAACATAAATGTAAAAGTAAGGGAAAAAAAGGAAAAAGTTAATGTTATAAATAATTTTTAAACTATAATAAAATATTTAATATGATATTTAAATTTTAAATATTTTAAATATAATATTTAAATTATAAATTTAATAACAAATGTAGTATTCATCTTATTAATTTTAAATAATTATATATGATGGATAAATAAAATTTTAAATATTATAATAATTAATAGATTTATAATTTAAATAATATATTAAAAAATTTTAAATTTAAAAATTATGTTAAACATTTTACTTGACTTATTAATGATATTAATCAAAAGAAACTCATGAAAAGGAGGAAGAATAGTCAGCAGCAGCAATGAATAACCGTATTTAAGGGAGAAACTGTCAGATGTAAGGAAAAAAAAAAAGAACAATAAATAAAAGTAAGTTGGCTCTTATCAGCATTAACAATGTTAGGAGCCGTCGTTTAAATGAGCAGTACCTGTTTCGTTAGGGATCACAATTTGGGTGGCTCAAAGAAACTGTCAATATCTTAAACCGTTGTCCTTGGCCTTGGGACCACCCCTCTATCACCCTCCTGGCGGCTGGTGCCAGTCTTAAGCGTTCGCTTTTGGCTTTAAATATTTGGCTTTTTCAGAAGTCAAGCTTTCCCTTTAATGAGATCCATTGAAAATCTTTTGGTTTTGTTTGGTGCTCTGCTTGCCATATTGATTGTCTGCAACCATGCGAGCTTAATAGTAAAATCTAAGGTGGTATTTTGAAGTCATACCACTAAACAAAGGATGAGCATTAACGTGGCCTTTAAAGGGAAGGGACCCATTGAATCATGCTTGTTGTGGAGTTGTGGTGTTGGCGTTGCCAATCCAATACACGTAATTTGCTTTCTTACATCGCTGATGCTGACTTGCTCCATCTACGGTCCTGTGAAGACCATTACAATAAACAAATTAAAAACAACCAATGTAAAACGTTTTTCTTTTTTTTTCTTCTAATTAAATCAGGAAGCAAATAGATTGTTCCAACTAATCGAATGTTAAAAATTGCTTAAAAGTTTTAAGATAAATCGTTCATTGTCAAAATTAATAAATCTTATTAATTAAGCTAATCTGTTAATAGTATTATTACATATTCGATTCACTAAAAATTTATGTTCTTAATTTTTTTTTTCAGTAGTACCGAGTTAAGCTTCGGTTTCTCCAAATCAAATAGTAAGAAAAAAACATTAAAAAAAAAAAAGAACAAATCACAGTTAACTTTTTAAAGTATAGACAAAAAAAGAAAAGAAAAAAAAATCAAGTGGCTGGTGGTTACTTGGTCTATGCCGATGTACACTTTCACCTAATCTGATTAGACGGATAGACAGAAAGTCTAAGAAATCAAATTTTCTTGATTTTCTAATCTTTGAATTTTCTCAGTTACTTTTTTTACAAACAAGGGCTGTAGTTGAAAGTAAATATATATATATATATATATTTAGATTTGAATTTAAAATTTATTAAATATTATTTTTTAAAATGATTATATAAATTAACGAAATAAAATTTTAAATTTATTTTCTCCAAATTTTGAAGCTAAAAATATAAATATATATAATAAAAAAAAATCATAATTTAAAAATAAAAAAATAATTATAAGTATTCAAATATAAATTTTAAATCTATTAAAAATCACATAAAAATAATTATATAAATCAATTGAATTAAGTTTAACGTTATATATAAATTTTTGAAACACCAAAAGATAAATACAATTGGATATTGCCACAATGGAGTTTTCATTTAGGATGCACGTTTGTTGTGCAAATTAATGTATAGGAACATCAATCTCAAATTGACCCAGTGTTGCTCTAATTTCTTCTTCCTTTCTTATTCTAATCATAAGTATGAATGAGAAAATAAAACAAAAGAAAAGAAAAACTAATATTATATAGTTTAATATATGGTCAATTAAAACAAAACAGATGTTCCAAAGAATCGCTTTTATGGCACGGCACATCCTTCTCTCATATATAGTATTTTGTGACCTTATAATTTTCTTGTGATTGGGCCCTCCATAACCTATGCTTTGGTCAGATAGTACTATTTTTTTGTTATACAAAGCCTCAACTCAATAATCTAAGGAAAGGAAAATTATTTTCATGGAATATCACCTTTTTTTTTTATATATATTTTTGTCTGTTTTTCCTTGTTATCATCCTCAACATGTACACACCACAAGATATTCTTTATCCTTAATTTGGGGGATTCTATTATATTATAAATTAATGTGCTAATCTTTCACTTGATATTGTGTTATATATATATATAGACACACATAGGTTAGTCTTGTCATGCAATTAAATTTTGTTTAATGAAAATTTGGATCATGCTAAATACAGATAGTTGTTCAAAATTAACAAAAACGAAAGAAAAAAAAGATGATCTACTTACATTTATTTAAAGTATGATTAGATCTCAATTAATTTTATAACTATCCATGAATTGCATCGAGTTGGCTTGACTTAGTCGATCATTCAAAAGTTTTACCCAAAATTCTATTCCTCTCAATTTATTTAGTTCAAAAGACTCATTTTAAAATATATATATATATATATTAAGATATCTAAAAAAATATAAATATATTATAATTTTATTAATTTAAATAAAAAATATTATAATATTTTTTGGAATCAGGCCACATTTGAATTGTAAAACCTGTGCCTAAAATTCAATCCGAATTAAATTAAAATTCACATAAATTAAACGAATAACTCGATCTAACAACAAATCTATCTTTTATGTAGGGTTGGCAGTCAAACTTAAACTCGATGGGTTTCGATTTCATCTAATTTTATAGGGTTATTTTTTTTTTAAATCAAATTTTAGTTCGGATCGAATCGGGTATTATTAACAAAAAATCGAGGTTGGGTCGAGTTCGAATTTTAAGCAAACCCGACCTGATATTATATTAAAAATTATTTTTTAATTTTTTTAATTTTTATTTATTTATATATATAATTATATAATTATATTTTAAAAATAATATTTTATTAATTTCAGATCAGATCTGATCGAGTACAGTTTATACAATATCGAGTTCGTGTATAAAAAATTGAATCAGATCGAATTTAAATTTTAAAATTATAAAATTAGATCGAGTTTGAGACAAATAAAAATACATCTTAACTCTATTCTTACTATATATATATTTTTTTTTGTTCAAAGGAAGACAACGTCCTATAACATGAAAAGGGGGAGAAAAGCTTAATTCAAACCCAAACTCAAATATCTTTCTTAAGACTTTTTTTGTCACTAGATCAAAAAGCAAAAGATTTATAGTATCTGATTATTTATGGCTTGCCCTATTCATTATTAATTTTCATTAATTTCAGCCTCCGTTGCTAATTACGTACAGCCAGAAAATGTTAGAAGAATCTCTTGATCATTATAACGAAGCAAGGGCTAAATTGCTAAAGTGAGGTCTCCTTCGTATGAGTCATTTCACACAAGGATTAATAGATGGGTCGTTCCATAAAAAGAAAACTTTCCACCAAAGTTAATGGCAGTATGGGCACATTTACTCATGTTACTTAAATCTGAAAAGTTCCAATCCAACTGCGGCAACCATTTCAACCTTTTTCTGGCTTTGTCATTGTTGCATCACCATGATGTAGTCATTATTATTGCTCCCAAGGAATTAATTTTCAATACTGTTTTAAAGAGTCTTTAAAATTTTTGTCAATGATGTTGGTGGAACCCTCAGAAATTTTTTTTTTCTTGAGTTGTAGATCAGGCCATGAAATTAATTAGGATTATGTAATGACCACTGATTCTATTGTCATCCACACAATGAGTTGGTTTTTGTCCTTTTTCATTCCCAAACTCTCAATCTCATATTGTGCTCACAAATATGATTAACGGCAAGCCAACAATTTTGCATTTTCAGGGTGTTAAAATATCATCGCAAAAGCCAAACTTAGCCAATGGGATTTCGCTATACATGGGATGGGATACAGAATTAGGTATATAATATTCTCAACATGTGTCTTAATATAGCATTTAATACAAACTAATGCCAATTAGAATTTTTCTTTAGGAGAAAGTTATGAATTATTCTATCTCAGGGTAAGTCTTTTCAAGTGTAAGTTTCTTTCAATTATGTATTAATTCGTCATTGATGGCTTAGTTTATTTATTAATTTTTTAATGTATATTAAAAATTATTTAATTATAATTGTAATTTTTTAAAATAAGATCGTAAGTATTTAGATATATTCGAATATTAAAAGCATATTATTTTATATTCATTTGATACATTCAGAATTTTATTTTTAGAAAATTTTTTTATAAAAATTAAACTTAGATTGATAAGGAAAAATTTTCTCTAATTAACTAGATTAATCTTTTGTAAAAATTTTAAAAACTAATAAATAAGTTTAAAAAAAAAAATTAAGTGAAGTACTTGAAGTGGATCAAGTAGTGCTGGCACATTGAATGAAATGGAAGTAGGTAGGTGGCAGCGTGAAAGGAAGAATGAAGGAAGGGAGATTTGATGGGCGGGTAAAGACGGAAGGTAAGGTAAGAAAATGCTGTGATGAGGTGGTGGCAGTAGAAGAACACGTGGTGGGGCACACCAACTTTAATAAGAGAAAAAGGTCGGCCTTGGACTTATCTTCCACCTCTCAATGTCCAATAAATAATAAACAACACTGCCACTACACGACAAATGTGGCCTTTTGTCTCTGAGCACATCTGTCCACCCCGCCTGTCTTGTATCACTCAACCTTTCTTTGTGGTTCTGCTTTGGGCTTTCCCTCCCGTCTTGGCGCCCACCGTAACGGCGCAGTTGGACTCTTCTCTCAATCGAATTCCTATGTATTGATTTTCTTTTAATAATAGTAATAATATTAATAATTATTTATTTAATCTAATTTTTAATGGATAGGGACTAGAAAAAAATTAAAAAATTAAAAATTGATTTAAAATTATTATGTTCATATCAGTTTGAATTAATTTTTTTATTCAATTCATATCATATTTAAATATTAAATATATATTAAATTTAGATCGATATATAAAAAATTAAATCAAAATAAATTATATATTTTTATTAATTTATATATTTTAAAAACTTTATAAAATAAAATAATTATTTTATATATAAATCTATTTAAAAATATTAAAAATTTTATTAAATAATATATAAAAAAATCGATAAATCTCTATTCAGATTAGATTAATTTTTAAAAAAAATTAGTTCAAATTAGATTTTAAAATTTTATAATATTATATATTATTAAAAAAATTAAACCAAACTCGATTCAATTCGAATCATTATCATCCTTATTGATGGAGAAAGCTCAAAGCAAACTCCATGGTGTTATATATAATAGAAAATTATTTCATTCCCTACCAATAAAATTTTCAAATTTTATAAGCTGAATTAACATAATAACACAAAATAACAGTAAAAAAAGTGTGTATATCTTAAATATTTTATAAATTAAAATTTTATTATTTTACTAATAAAGCATATGAATGTTGATAAAATAATCTCATTTAACTCTTGTATTTTAATGTTTAATATTAATGCTATATATGTGCTAGTTTACTTATGCAGACAGTACAATATGGATCTCAATCTATAAATTCCAATTTAAAAATATTATATATATATATATATGTATAGAAGATTTCTTTTTATGAAGAAGCATGAAGCATTTAAAGTATATGGTCCTAGTAGTCAAAATGCAGAAATTAAAATGCTTATATCCCAACAACTATGATAAATTCTATATCTATCAATAGTTTTTCATCGCAATTGCTGAATTTCGAAGCTGACTTGGTGCCGAGATTGACTCATCTTGATTTAATCACATGGTTAATTCTTCATTTTATTTTTATTTATAGTTGAACAGGATCTACTACGAGCCTGTGATCCATTGACAAAGAATTATAAGTTTTGGAATGTGAATTTTCGAAATTTAATTCAATTGTTTCGTATAATGTTATTATATTATATTTTTAAAGGATAATATTTAATATTTAAAATTTTAATATTCGTAATCATTTTCATTATCCTAAGATAAAAATATTTTATATAAAAAAATTATTATCCAAAAGTAAAGGTTTTGTAAATATGGTGGGGAAAAGAGTAATAAAGCTTTTTTTAATGGCTTGATCAATTGGCTAAAACTTTTCAATTCATTAATTTTGATACCTAATTGATGCCTAAATATTTATTTAAAAGGTCTCCAAAAAGTTGAAGTTTGAACCACCAAAAACGGAAATAATTCATTTAATGATCATATTGGTGGGGTTTCGATGATGGATTAAGACTTCTAATGCGCCTCTCAGCTAAAGCAAATATGTTATTTATTGCCGAAAGGTTAACATTTCTTTCTCTTCTTTAATTTTATTTACTGAGATAATTAAACCACGCTCTCTTTCCTATATAACTAAGCCCAAACCAACAGCAGACAACATCAAAATCAGCTTCAGTTAGCTCTCTCTCTCTTCTCTGTCTCTCCCAACACCCTCTGTCAATCTATATCTTGCTGCTTAATTTCTGAAAAACATGGTGAAGCTAGAAACGAGTCTTCAAGCAGCCATGAATGCAAGAATAATTGGGTCTGGAAGTAAGACCATGGTTCTTGCACATGGATTTGGAGGAGACCAATCTGTCTGGGACAAAATCCTTCCTTACTTGACAAAGCATTACCGGGTTGTCGTTTTTGACTGGACCTTTTCAGGAGCTGTAAAAGATCCTAACCTCTTTGATCCTTTGAAATACTCTTCCTATGATGCCTTTGCTAATGACCTAATAGCTCTTATGGACAAGCTTGACTTGAAATCGTCAGTCTTTGTCGGCCACTCCATGTCTGGTATGATCGGATGCATTGCTTCCATTAAAAGACCCCAACTTTTTAACCGGCTCATACTTGTTGGAGCTTCTCCTAGGTATTTTTCTTTTCTTTGAAGCAGACAAAAAAAAGGGTTTTCTTGCTTCTGCTATACCTATAATTTGCATGTGTCACCTGCTGATCTAGTTAATTTTTTGCATGATTCTGCATGGTCACTGCTTTTCTCTATAAACAACAGTATTATACAGTTTGAAGCATGAACTTGACCAGGTTCTATTAAGAAAAGCCACACACTTTCTTTTTGATTGAGAGATTTAATTCAATATTTTGCCACATCTAGTAGTAAATATTCTTCTATTTTCCTTTTTTTTTTTCTTTTTCCCCATTCGGTAATTCCATTTCTTCCTTCTTTTTTTTTATATCTGTTTTATTTACTATATGCTTTGTGGACAAGTTTTGTGCACCGAATAAAATTAAATTAAATAATAATTTTACTTTATTCGATCTGACGATGGTTAGATCTAGTCGCTCTTGATGTTGATCTAGCATTTTTTTTTTTTTTGGTCGAATGGAATGTTGATCTAGCTTTAGGGACTCCAGTAAACGAATCCTTAATCTTCTTTTTTTCCTCGGCATGCAAGTAATAATACAAGACTTACATATAACTGAATAGATTTATTTATTTTAACTGTATAAAATAAATAATAAAGCTGTGATTAGACGTGCAGAACCAGTTCAGCAAAATATGGGTACAGAAGTCTCTGGGTCTGTTACGATAGAGAGTGTTTTGTTCTTTATCTTGTACTTTTGTGCTTCGAAATTGTGTGGAGGAGGCAACTCTATAAATAATGTTTATGCATATATATATATATGTATATATATTTATGAGTTCCTTTTGTTAGCTAGTTGGGTTCTGTTTTTAAATTATACCATAAATGCTATATGGGGGTAAATAATAATTGTGAAAAGTTTTTTTTTTTTTAAATCACAATTTATAAATAAAAAATATTATAAATTTTGAGATTTGAATCGTAAATTTATTGAATATTATTTTTTAAAAATGATTATATAAATTAAATGAATTAAATTTAAATTTAACACAAAAAACATATTTACTTTGTCAATATAATTGGACTTTACAATATTTACTATGTTTATAACAAATTTTTCTAAGCATAGTTTATTTAATTTTCTCATGCGACTTCGTTCCAAAAAAAAAAAAGTTTCTTATGCTACTAATTAATTAACACAGGTACATTAATATAGATGATTATGAAGGTGGATTTGAGGATGCAGCAATTGACATCATCCTCTCCAGCATCAAATCCGACTATGATAATTGGGCATCAAGTTTTGCTACTCTTGTTGTGGACAACAAGGATCCTCTCTCGGTTGAAAAATTTGCGAAATGCTTGAAGAAGATGAACCATGAATTCGCAGTCCCCTTAGCAAAAACAGTGTTTCGTAGCGACGAAAGAGATGTTCTTGAGAAGGTTACCACCCCATGCACCATCATTCAGACCACAAATGACATTGTTGTGCCAGATTCAGTTGCCTACTACATGCAGGAGAAGATCAAAGGGAAATCAACCGTGGAGATTGTCAATGCCAACGGTCATTTCCCGCAGTTGACTGCACATCTTGAGTTCCTTGATGTGCTGGGTGGAGTTTTAGGCTTTGAGATTTGATCAGTTAAGGTCAGAAATAAAATAAATATGTGGCCATTGGGACATATTCTTTTGTGTGTTTATGACTCTATTGTGGAACTGACCAGTGTAGAATATATTTAGTCTTTTTATTATTTCATGTCTTTTATAATCAGTAATTAATGTTTTAATTATTAAAGTTCTTCACCTTTTGGCTTGAATCTTATTTTATTAGTACTTAGGAAACAAGTGATCTTGTGTCTTGAATTGGATATTTTGAAATTTTTTTGGTTTGAAACATACTTTATGGTTATATATAGCTTTCCTTCTATCTTAATATTATAGCTATAAGAAGTTGGGTTCAAAATTTTGAATAAAAATTTTATATAGTACTCAAGTCCATAATTAAACAAAAACAAATACAAAGTAAAAAAAAAAAGAAAAAGAAAGACTATAATATATATTGCGACGATGTCATAAACCCTAATTTCTTTTTTTATTCTGGAAATTATATAATTAAATTATAATTATAATTACGACTAAATAGTTTCATTTTATAATTCTTAATATATAAAAATCCAATTAATAAACAAAAAATTAAAATGTAATTGAAAGAGAGTAAGAAAATCATACATTAATAAGGACCATTTTCTTAGTATTGAAATGAAACCGAATAAACAACCATAAACCCTAATTTAAACCAATTCTTTTTTATAACCTAATTGAAAAGGTTCAACCCAAACTTGACTCATACATCACGCCCAATTGTCCACACTGGCCACAACAAAAAGGCTGGGAGAATTCACTTCCGGGCCCAAAATCGGCCCACTGGGCTTAATATCGTGGAACTGTAACAGGGAGTCATAGGGGCGAACCGGACGGGAAATTGATATCCGAAATGATCTGGCTTTTACTTGAGAGTTGAAGCAGTCGAAGTCATCAAAGCAAAGTTAAACTAGGAAAGCATGAAATGCTTTTCAGTGTGTAAACTCGGAACCAAATCTTCATGGAAGTTTCCACTATTCTTGTTCCCAAACAACTCTGCAACATCGGAGGTTATCGCCGCTGCTCGCTTCCGAAGTGTCGCTCCTCGTTCCCTTCGCTTCTCGTTGCTTGGAAGCGTTTCAATCTCTAATCGTGATCGAAACTTCTCCACCATGGCTGGCGCTGAAGAGTTTGTTAAGGGAAATGTTTATCCAAACGGCGTCGCAGTCATCACTCTCGACCGTCCCAAAGCCCTCAACGCCATGAATTTAGGTCCCTTTCGTTATTTCTCCTTGATTTACATTTAAATTTAATTCGTTTTGTATGAGTTTGATTGGAACGAAAGCGAATTCGAATTGAATGATCGGTTCTAGCACGATTTTTAAATTACAATCTCTACCCTTGATAATGTAATGCTAAAATATTATGAAGGGATAATGCTGTCAAAAATAGTGAGAGTAAAAGAAGAAAAGTAAGACGTTGTTCAAGGAGTTGCTAGTAATAAAATTGGAGGATTACAAGAAGTTTGTAATGGTTCTACAAGATATCCTAGTAAAAGAAGAATCTTTGTTGTATCCACAAAATTTAGCACTTGTTAAGAATTAATGGACAAATGTGCTAGTGTAATTTTGTTGTCTCATGGCATTTTCTTTGATTCGATATGAATCAATAGTTTGCAGATGTGTTTTGTGGATGAGACGTGTGTATATTTTGATAAATGTAGATATGGATATCAAGTACAAGCAAATTCTTGAAGAATGGGAATTGGATCCAAAGGTCAAATGTGTTCTGATCGAGGGCAGCTCACCACGTGCGTTTTGTGCAGGTTCTTGGACAAGAATTAAGGCTTCTTCTTTGACAGGGAAATGATACTTCTAATAATATTTCTAGATGCTGTTTGTAATGAAAAATGTGTATTGATATCCTTGTAGGCTATTTTCACATTGCTAGTGTTAGGGGAGTTTTTGGGGCTAACCACTAATGGGTAATGCAGGAATGGATATTAAAGGTGTTGTTGCTGAAATCCTAAAGGACAGAAACACAACTCTTGTGCCAAAGGTTTCCTTTTCCTTCCATCTGTAAATGCATGCCTTGTGCTTCTAATGTTTCCTACAAGCATACTGTACTTAATAATTTTTTCCATTCTTGTCAAATCCACTGTTCAAGCCTTAAGTTGTTTGCCTTATTCTTCTCTTTTTTCCTTCTTGTTTTTTTCCTTTGGGTTGGGGGAGTGTGGATATCATTTTACTTGTATTTTTCCTTATTCTTTTATTTTTGGGTTCCATGTTGTGTTCCTTCCTTAAATCAAAGCACTCAATGCTTCTCTCATTGATAACTTAGATTTAGCATATATGCAGGTGGTGATGTGATTCTGAAATATCAACCATCCATAATTGTGGGGTTTATGTGGTTCTATATGAATCCCATGTGGGCACAAACAGTGGGGAGGGTTGGGATCAAGTAATTGTAGGTGAAACGAATCTTTTTTGTTTTTGAGAAACAGAGGAATGGAAATCTTTGATTATACATGTAGTACAACTTGCACAATGTATATCATAATTTTGCCTCTATTGTTTTCCAGATGAAATTAGCTTTTGCTTATATCAGTAGGAGCATAATTTAAATTTTAACTGTTCTGCACCTGTGCTTTGCAGATTTAACTTTTAAGATATGTTTAAAGTGTTTTATCTTGTAATTGTGTCTAAATTGTAAATGATCTGTTATACATGTCCAAGATGCAGCCATTGACATGATAGGATGTGAGCATGGTACCCCCGCATACTGATTGTTCTGCACTAGCGATGTCTAGCATATAGTTTGGGTGATTTCCTCATATGTGCATGATGTGTTTGTTGGATATTATATCATTTCTTATTAGGGAGACTTCTGTTTATGCTATGTTGTTTCTCTTTACTGTTAAATCACTTAGTGCCTTACATATTAACTTGTCTTCTGAAGTTCTAGCCTTATTATGTTGTAATTTTTTCCAGGTCTTCACTGCAGAGTATTCTCTAATATGCAAAATTTCAGAGTACAAGAAGCCTTATATATCATTGATGGACGGCATAACAATGGGCTTTGGAATTGGCCTATCTGGCCATGGTCGCTACAGAGTGGTAACTGAGGTGCAAACTGATCTCCTTGCTGTCTGGAGAAATATTTGGTCCTGCATTTTAAGTTATAATAGCTTTACAAGTGTCTTTCTCTAATATTTTACTCTTGCATAAATCTGGGTTAGAGGACTGTTCTTGCTATGCCAGAAAATGGAATTGGTTTGTTTCCTGATGTTGGATTTTCATATATAGCTGCACAAAGTCCAGGAGGGGGTTCTGTTGGTATGTCTCTTTTACTCTAAAACTAAGCTCTAAGAGTTGTAAAAAATGGCTTGTAATAGGATGCTATAGATTAAACCAGAAGCACTAGGGTTGAAGTGGGAGTGTAGTAGGGTTATTTTAAATCTTGTAAGTGCTTTTAAAACATTTTGGAGATGCTGAATCCCTAAAGCTAAACTTATATGATTATACACGTGTGCACAAATACCAATTTAATTCTCTTGCTCTCTTGAGGTTGTATTGCATCCTTCCACTCTTGTCATTTACAATTTTGGAGTTCTGCAGGTGCTTATCTTGGAATGACTGGGAAAAGGATATCAACGCCTTCAGATGCACTATATGTAGGTCTTGGAACACACTATGTGCCATCCAGAAATCTAGGTTCACTGAAGGAAACCCTTCTAGCCAGTACCTTGTATATCTCTGTTCTTCTTTTTCTTTTGATTGCTTTCTCTTTGAGTGGAAATGAATAGCTTTAGGATCTTATAATTCTCTATTTAGTTGCTCACTGTTCATATAAATTGTGACTTACAAATGTCTCTAAAATGGGGGGAAACGTATTTATGACTTGATATTCCAAGTCAAGTTAGCTTTGTGAAAAAGTGTGAAATCTTTGCCTTCAGAAATTTTAGTTTGAGGACCAATGTTTCTCTATGTTGGGCCGGAAGCTGTAAAATATGAACTTAAACTCTTCAATCTTCTTGGTTTTTATCGTATTTCAGCTTGTTGTTTGCAATGTAATTTCCTCCCATTTTCTGAATAAAAAGTTTTGAATTTGTTTTCTGTTCTTCTGCAAATTGCAGATGTAGTAGTTCTATTAGCAACACAAATATTCATGGTCTTCTTCCAGTAAAGTTGTGAATGATATGTTTGGCAAATTGGAGATGCAGTAGGTCTATTAGCAACATAAATATTCATGGTTTCTTTCCAGCAAAATTGTAAAATGATATGTTTATTTTCACAGTTCAGAGGATCCACACATGGACGTTACTACTCTGTTGGCAAAATACAGCAGTAACCCTGAGTCTGAAGCAAACTTGAAGTCGTTTTTGCCTCAGATAACTTCATGCTTCAGTGCAGATAAGTCTGTTAAGGAGATAATTGAAGAGCTTAAAAAACATCAGCAAAGTACAGAAGCTTCAGGTAAGCTTAATTAAAATAGGCTAATCCAAACAGTAAAATGAATTGCATATGCGTCATTATTGTGCTCCCTGGAAAGCTTTTTTCTTGTGGATGTTGGTGGATGACAGTGAAACCATTAATCTAGATACATTTACATTGTTTCTTTCTGCAGTGGTAGAGTGGGCAAATGATGCTCTGCATGGTCTTGGAAAGGGCGCTCCCTTTTCTCTTTGCTTAACACAAAATTATTTCTCTAGAGTTGCATATGGATATGGTAAACATGGAAATGAATTTACTTCGGTGAGCTTAGATATGTGTAATTCAACTTTCTCTCTCGTTTCATTTCTAAGTAAATTTCTTCTCTAGCCGTAAGACGGCAAGAGTTTTCAAGTAACATCTGTATTTATGTTGCATTGATCATTTCCAGCTAAGCGGTGTTATGAAAACTGAATATCGCGTTGCCTTGCGGTCTTCTCTGCGAAATGATTTTGCTGAAGGTGTACGTGCAGTCTTGGTTGACAAGGATCAGGTTGTTTCTTCATACTTCTGCGCCTTCTATCCAAGATAAAAGATCTGCCACTTGCTAAGATTATACTTTAATATTATTAAAAAATAAGTTAACATCTGCAAATTTTCTCCTCTTTTGTTCTTCCAATCTTTAAAATAATGATGATCTCCAAATACGTTGAATCTATTTCTTTAGAATGTGTCTGTCGTTCATGCATTTCTAACATATATGCTTGTCTGTTTATGGATGTGCATGTTCCTCGAAGCTCCTGGGTTTTATTCTTCTTCGCCTTCAGGCCTTAAAAGTTCATGGCTTTTATTGTTCATAGTTGTGACTCTTTTATGTCTGTGCAGAATCCAAAGTGGAACCCTCCAAGCTTGGATGGAGTTAACCAAAAGGAATTGGAGGAAGTTTTTGAACCATTAGGTCCAGGAATTGAAGACTTGAAAGTGTAAGGTTCACACTTCACATAAACAAATTGTCTCTTCTTGTTTTGCTTGGGAGATGAATGGATCGGCGACGTGCAAATACAAATTTGGAGCTCAAGAAAATAAACAAAGATCATTTACAAGCAAAAGTGCCTCAGTTTTTGGCATGAAAGAGTTTTACATATTGCATGACACTTATGGCTTTAATAATATTCTGATCCTAAAGCACAATCATTATTCCTGGAATGTACACTTTTGACTTTTGACAGCCAATAGTACGGTCAAATATTTTTTATGATCTATGACTTTCAGATTCTATGAAAATGTTGTGCTTTTTTTCCTAGGATGGCGGTTTGCATTTAAACTGGATTGTTATCTTATTCACTGATAATGGAGTTTACAATTTCCATAAACCAATTTATACACTTATCATGAAGGAGAAGATAATTTTTATTTCGGATCTATCCAACATTAATGCAGCTTTCTTTTGTGAACAGAATGGGAGGGGGCTTTGGCTTGGTGTGTTTTACCAGAAAGCATATTTAGGATTAGGAGCAATCTTCGCTCTTCATACTTTGGAGAGCTTTCTGTTTGGTTGCAGAGAAAAGTTACGTAGATTCGGAAACAGATTGGGATTTAAATTCTTTTTTTTAATTGTGTAAGAGGAAAAATGGATAGGGAGAGATGCTTACGGAGCCGCGATTGCATGCTTTGATTTTGTCGAAGTCTCGGAGATCGGAAGAATCGTGGGGGTTATCCTCGGGTTTAAAGACAGTAGATGAAGCTGATAGAGAACGGGAATTGGAAGTTTTGATTGGATGGAAGGAAAGGAGAGTAGCGGAAGGGAAATACGGTTATTGAACCGTTGGAACAGGCGTGATAGGATTCGGCCGTACGGAGAGATGAGATTTGAGTGTCGCATTTTGTGAGAGAGGTGGTGAGCATTGCAGCCATTTGAGAGCGAACAGCGAAGCGGGCAAGAGAAAAAGCGGTCTGGTTGGTTGGGACGAGGGAGAGTGGAAATTATTTTGCTAACGACGTCGCTTTCGAATTCACTAAGGATACGTTTGGTTTACTATTTTGCCAACAATGCCACAATAACCAAATTATGAGGTTTTTCTTGTCCCAAACGCGCCCTTTGGTAGTTTTTCAAAATCAAATGCAACTTTGTAGAGTGCGGGCTTTAGCGCTTCAGGCCAAATCCTTAAGTATCCAATCAAAACGGAGCTCAAAGCATTTTTCTCTTCCTTCTGTAGGAAACGTCAAAGAGTGGTTTTATTCTCTTTCGTGAATCGCATTTTCTTTGGCCTTGCTGTAGCATCTTCATTCACGGTTCAAATGTGTTCCCTTCTCTATAAATCGCTTATTTGCGAGTCCCCCCATTTTCGTACCCAATTCCTCAACGTTCCCGCGGGTTCTCCTCCCTTTCCGTCGCCTCCCAATCAGAATATTTCCCGCCGGATTACGTATCGAACCATGTCTTGCTCTTCCCAAACCTCTTTCCCCACTCTCCGAACCGTCACCATATCTTATCCCAAACTCAAGGTGAGTCCCTGATCAGCTTTGCCTTGACTTACCTTGGACTTCGGTGAGTTGACTCGTTTGAGTGGGATTTCAAACAGAGTTGACTGTGATATTGTGGTCTAAATTGTTAGTTTCATTGCATCTTCCTGCAGTTTCTTGGCAACCAAACAGAGTTGATGACATGTTATTTTAAAAAACTAGATTGTTGGATGTTGTGTATACGTATCTGCATGCGTCTAAAAGCTTTTTTTGTTAATATTATTTTGTCTCGTTTATTGAAATGGATTGAAATAGGACAAGGAGGCTGACCTGTCTATGAAAATTGAAGAAGGATTTGGACTGAATGGACTGGGAATTCTATCAATTACAGACGTATGAATTCATTTTTTTTTCTTTCGCAGAAATTTGTTTGTCGATAACTTGATGGCTTGATTGATTTTCTTAGGCAATTAATTTCTTCTAATATGTTTTGAGTTTCTTTTTTCTTTTTGGTAAGTTTGACTTTGAAATAATTTATTGCAGGTTCCAGAATTTCCTTCATTGCGCCGAAATCTTCTGCAACTTTCACCTAGGTATAATTTAAGCTTCAAAAGGAAATTTTTCATATGACTCCTTATTGAAGAAAATTGAAAAATATTGTTTAAATCTCCTTCCCTTTTAACAGATTAGCTGGCCTGCCTGAAGAGGTGAAGAAGGGACTTGAGGATCCTCAGAGTAGGTAATATTTTGAGGATTTTTATTTTCTATTCATTGTTCCTCTGGGAATTCATTTAGAATGTTAATGCTATTTTCTTTTTATTTATTAAAAATGCATATGACTCTGTTATTCTTAAAAGAGAGTGTCAAGGGTTCAAGATTGTGGATTACATTGCTGTGTTGCCTTTAAGCCGTGTTCTTTTTAAATGCTTTTTATCTATAGGTACAATTTTGGATGGAGTCACGGGAAAGAGCAGCTCGAATCTGGGAAACTGGGTAAATGTTTACACATGTTTGAATCTTACAACTTGACATTATTAAACATGAGTCATTAGCATGCAGTTTATTGCTTTTCTTTATATTTATATATAATTGTAGATCAGAAAATACCATATAGCTGATATAAAGTATGCTGCACTAACATTCTAGTTGAAGTCAACATTAAGAACATGTTAAACTGCTTATAAACATCAACCTTGAGCAATTGGCCTCTTTGTGTGTGGGAAAGTATGTCCTTTTCTTGTTCTTCCTCAAATCCCAACATTTATGGGAGGCTATCTTCTTTCTGCTTCCCATAATTTTAATAGCATGCGTAAGTTATAGGCAGAGATGAAAGGATATTGTTTTAAGAGATACTGTATAAACTGGATTAAGGAAGGGATTGAGTGAAATTTTGCTACAGATATGTTCAATTCTAAGTTACATTCAGAGGAGAAATACTCTTTCAATTTCTTTGATGTTGGTTCTGAAACAAAAAATAAGAGACTTAAGTGGTTTGTACTTGTTGCAGGATTTTAGATCCTGGATGCTTTTTCTATATGTGAAGTGGTGTGAAGCCCCTTGAAAATGTCTGCTTCTTCCTATATATTTGATTTTGATATTGTCTTTAATTTATGCTCGAATTGTGTTTCTTTTTCTTCCTGGGTGCTTTAAATTTTTTTCCCTTCAATGATTTCAACTTATTTCTCTTTAATGCTATGCAGATCTGCTGAAAGGTTCGTTCTATGCAAATCCGCTAATTGATGTGCCTACAAACGATGTATACTTGATTGAGAGGTAAAAATGGAAAGGAAATTAATGAGTACCATGATTGCATCGATATGTAACATTGTCTTAAATTGGTGTAGAGACCAGTTCCCACTGTTTATGTCTGTAGGCTCTTATATGATATAATGTAGACTCTGCCACAAGTGATTGTGCTTATATGTCCAGTTGGTCATCCATGCTCTGCCTTGTAGGTATCCATCATATTGTGGAGCAAATATATGGCCTCAGGCTGCTTTGCCTGAACTGGAAGTGGGTATGTTCACATTTCTTTAAATTTAGAAAAATAATGGAATCTGAAGCATGTCTTGATCTTTTAGTGAGTTATGAATTGCTCTGAGGAAATAATATCAAATGTTTATTTATTTTGTGTTCAAATCTGACATAGGATTTTCTGAATGTTGATTATTGGCCTCTACTCTGTAGCTTTCAAAGCTCTGGGAAAGCTGATCTTTGATGTTGGGTTGCTGGTGGCATATCACTGCGATCAATATGGTAAATTCCCCTAGAATTCCAACTTTTAAGTACAGAAAATATGAAAATGGAAAGTTGCACTTCTATTCCTAAATTATGCATACCAGCTTCACTGACAAAGCATCACAGTCTTTTATAGTTGAGATTAGACCTTTGAAAATCCAGGGTGACCACATTTCAATATTTTGAATTTCATATTTTTAGATTTGACCCTATACCATGATGTATGAGATGGATCGAGCCTAGTCCTGCTGAAAAAATTGGCTACTGTGGTTTCTTGATTCTATAACATGTTAAATTTATCTTAAACAAAGAACAAAATGTTTTTGTTTGCTATCTTAAGTTGCTCTTTCACTTTATGATCACATGAGCAGTATCTAGGGGGATGAAAATGCACAAGGATGAAGGCCTTGAACAAATACTTCTTCACTCTCGTTGTCATAAAGGCCGTTTGCTATATTACTTTCCTGCACAACTAAGGTTTTATTTTCCACAGTAGATTTCTGGTTATATTTTTCCTGAGTAAACAGTTAATCCCTCTCTTTCTCTAGCTTCTAGAATGTATCAAGTAAAATATGACATTGCTTGCAGTAATCATAAAGAAAATGGTGACTCCATGTCATCTTGGTGTGGATGGCATACAGACCATGGTTCACTGACAGGTATAAATCTTTAGTCTCATCTTATTATTTTTCTCACTTCAGCTTATCAGCTACCTCATGTATAACACCTGACCTTATGTTAAAAAAAAAGATTTAATTAATGAAAACCTATATAATGCCTGTTTAACATCATTAACCTATTGTCATCCATCTTGGTCTGTCTAGTGCTTTTTTCTTTTTAATAATGATTTAGGAAGTAATAGTTAAAATGAAAAAAAATTGCCATATGATATTTGTGTATTTAGGTGGTATTGCAGAAAACAGGAAAACTGGAATTGTTTTGCTTTGCTTTCAAGGCATGTCAAGATGAATCCACCCTCCATAGGTGCAATGAACTGGATCCATTTCATTTACTGAAAATGTAGATAAGCCTGTTTCAGAGATTGAGAGAAGTTGTATGGTGGTATAATGTTAGTTCAGATACACAGTTAAACTTAAAAAAGAAGTGGGGACTTTTGGTGGGCTAGAAGTAAGTGTGTTTCTGATGTAAAGCACAATTTTAAAAGATGATACAACTATAAGGAGATTAAAGAGAAACTTGTATGGATAATGAACTAAAAGTTGTTTAGCATTTTAATTTTTAAGTGCAGTAGTTAACTCTTTTGAGGTTAGAAATTAGTTTTTGTCCTCTTCTTTTAGTAGCCTTGCAAAAAGATTGATATCATAGTGATCAATTTTATGTTTGTCCCTGATTTCTGCTTCAATTTTTAATATGTAGGTCTGACATGTGGCTTGTTTAAGAGGGATGGTGTAGAAATATCTTGTCCTGATAGTGCTGCTGGCCTTTATATAAGAACACGGACTGGTCAAATTGTCAAGGTATACATTCTTGGTCAGAGTACTCAACTTACCAACAAATGCAAGTGACCAAGTATATTTATAATGAATTTTTTCCAAAGCATTCTTCGTCATAAATCATAATTCCTTGTTTAGCTTCTCATTTAAAAAAGAATAATTTTAGGCATCATATTACATGATGTGTCAGTCTCAGATGATATTTTGGAGTTGAAATATTGAAATTTCATTTGTAATGGGGAATATTAGATAAAAAATTTCTGGCAAGAATGAGCTTGTTAAGGACTAGAGTGCTATCTGTACACTATTTTGATGCCAGTTCCATTTGCATCCAAGACATTAAGTAAATGACATATTATACATTATTGATACTGGATTGTCCAATAAAATTGCACATTACTGTCAAAATAGAGAACCTTTTATAATTTTTGGAGAGTACCATAAAATGGTGATTTGTACATTCCCTAACTTTTCTATATTTTGTAGATCCTAAAAAATATTCCCTATTCTGTAGTTGAGCGTGTAAGTTGAGAAATCGGAGAAAGGCCTCCATGAGATGGTGGAGGTAATTAAATAGATGGAGAAGGACAAATACTAGGGGATAAAACTAGAAATTTCCTTATTTCATGCTGCAGAAGCAATAGTGTGGTTTTAACCAATTTTTTCAACCAACAGCTGCAAAATGTTACCTATGATTGCCATGCTTTGGAAAAACATTTGCTGATTCTATTAAATTGGAATTCATATGCATTAGGCTATTTTTGGAGAAGATGAAATAGCATACCAAATTGGCGAGACCACTGAAATTCTTTCTCAAGGTTACCTTTGTGCAACACCTCACTGTGTTCATGTAATTTCTACTCTCTCTCTCTCTCTCTTGGGGGGAAAATCCCTGTTCAGTTTCCGTTATCCTGTTCTTCCACTATAATATCCTTTATTCATTGATTCTGTTAGGCACCAAAAGGAAAGGAGGCTTCTGGTGTTGATCGATCAACATTTGCATTATTTATGCAACCTGATTGGTATGTTAATCATCAACAATTTTAACTCCATGCTTATTGACTTGCCTTGTACGAGATTAATTTTAATGGTAGAATAATGAACTATGATGATTTGTTTCGCTATAGTCAGCTCAGCATTTATGCTTTCATATGTCATTCTCTTCTGGTGTAGAAATGAGTTACTAACATCTGATTAGGAAAATGAGTTTGATGTTGGTAATCTTGTTTTCTTTAAAATTGAAGGGATGAAAAGCTCACTTTTCCTGGGGAGGTTCATATTCATAAAGAGGTATGTTTCTATAATCCTATGGACATGCAAAAAGTAATAGGAAGTAAAATTCAAATGATGCATAAACCACAAGCTAGCCTGTGGACTTGCACTTGTGCTTGGAAGAAACTTAATGCTACAAGTCAACTTTAACTTTCAGGATAATTTGCTACCATATGATGATGGTCCTAATTAGAATACAACTTTTAAACATTCCTTGGAACCCAAATAGAAAAATTACTAGTATTATTACCGTGTAGGGGTCGTACTATTTACTGAAGTTTTGTTGTGCAATGGCTTCAGCTGATATCATCAAGCGGCAGTCTTACTTTTGGAGAATATTCTGAGTTGCTCATTGACAAATATTACCACAAGAAAGCATAGGGAGCCTGTATTCTCTTCTAGCAACTTTAATCTTTATTTTATCCCCTGATGTCTAGGTACACTAAATAATACAAAAATAATCAATAAAATCTCTTTGTAAGCTTCATTTTTTTTTAAGTTCTTAATTACTCTTAAATTTCTCTTATATTATTATATATTTGGTTGAAAAAGGATGTTATGCGCTTAAACTTTCGAACCTACAACCGCTAATTTCAATGACATACAACCGATTCAAGGGATAGTTGGCTGTAAGCTTCATGTTTGTTTTATAGGAACAAAACAAATTTATAGATCCTTGGTGCAATTTGGTGTTGATTTTTTTGTCAAACAAATCTTCAATTTTCTATTTTATGATGAAAATCAGGCCGACAAAGAAAGGCCAATGGTTTTAGGCTTGGATTTGGACCGTCAAATTTCGGCCCATTAAGCATCATCCCCTAATAATAATATAATAATATTTTCTTTTGGCAAAGCCCTTAAATTGGATTGGACTAACAACTGTGGTGGTCTCGCTGTTGTCTTTCGTGGGCTCTACATGAAGTGGAATGCTTGGTAAGATAAATTAGAAAATCTACGCCCACCCTGGGGAAGATAAGGTGGGTCCCTAATCGGATGATGTTTTCCGTAAGATAATCTGACCGCTGTCTGGTGTGACGTAAAATTCAAAACCAAAACAGCAGCAGCCGAAAATATGAAAAGATATAAAAGCTAGACAGCCTCTTAATGAGATGACTGGACTTGATAAGGCTGGTAGCAAATATTACATAAATAATTATCAACACAATCAAATTACAAATTTAGATCTTAGTTTGTTCGAATTTAAGTTTATTGAATAGAAAAAATTAAAAATTAAAAATAATAAATAATAATAATTTAATTATTTAATAAATTTATACTTTTATCACTTTTTATTCTTATCAAGCAAATTTTTAGATTTTTAATTTAGTCATTTAATTACAAAATGTCGGCCAGAATTTTCGCAAAAAATGTTACGGTACGATTGGCTCTCGTTCCATGCAATGCTAGCTGGCCGACTTCCACTTCCACGTGTCTCGCATTCTTTTTTTATCTCAAAACATATTCATATTCTCGCCAGCGAATCAAAGCCATTTCACTTTAAGCCGCCTAAGGACTAGAGTGAGTAATGAACGGACAAAACGTGTTCAAAATCACGACAAGAGTGCCACGTGGCGGGCAAACGATAATTAAATTGAAGCTGGTGGAGGAGGCTCCCAACACGTCTTCTCCTTGGTTTATCTTTTGTCTACTGCATGGCCCCACTGTTAGTTTGACCAACTAAATGCTCCTCCCTTCTAAATTTACCATTTTATCCTTTTTTTACATGAAATTTGTTTTCCCAAAAAGCAAAAAATAATAATACTAAAAGATAAAAGCGTTTATTTTTTTCATTTTCTCTGTATTTGTCGAATGGTATATTTTCTGATTTTTGTCAAATTAAAAATAAAAAAAAAGTTAATGTATATAAATTTAAGGTCAATTTTGTTGTTATAACAACCCATTATTCATCATATCACTCAATCATTGATGAGATCTAAATAAAAAATTTATTAAATATACATTATTATCTCCAACATTTTAATAATAATAAATAATTTATTATCTCATTCTCATCTTCTTTTTTATATTATCATTCAAATTCTTTTAACATCCAATTCGCACTAGTTTGCTGATCTCACTTTTTAATTCGCTTTCGCCACATTCTTATCTTAGTTCAATGGTGCCACTAATAATATATAGTAGAAAATTTAGAATTTCACTTTAAATTATTTGACTTTGCTTCCTTTGTATGAAAAAAAGAAAATGTATTTGCCCATTTCTTAATACAAAAGAAATATAAAGGGCTCTCTTAAAAAATAATAATAAAAAGGGCGAAACACCAAAGTTGCAGTTGGATACTGAAAAAGTTGGCTTCCAGGAAATGACATTTATCTAAAACAAAAAAGGGTACCACAGTCGTCACACGTTTGTATAATTATAAGTAGGTTTGTTCCGTTCGTGTTCCAAAGCAGAATCATCAACGACCATAATCCTCTCAGACGGTTGGGTTCCGCCATGTCAACCACACCTTACTTTCTTTCAAGCTCCAAATCCAATCCTTGCCTCAGGTCTCAAAAGCCTCGGAAACCCAGTTTTCGAAATCGTTGTTTGTTGATGGCAAAGCAGCAGAAAACTCGGTTTTACATACTTGGACGTTGTGTCTCCATGCTTTTGTGCTGGCATGACCATTCTCTTTCAGATTGAGTTCCAAGACAAGATTTTGTTTCCAGGCATCAGTTGGAATCTGGAAGACAAATCTGGGTTTCAAGATTTGGATGAGAAGAATAGACGAGGAATTTGAAGAAAGGTCAAGGAATTCAAGCGCTGGACTCTTGCTGGAAAACAGGTAGGATTCGTGGAAACTAGAAGTAGCCATAGAGTTAAGAACTTAGGAGGGGATTGGACCAAGGATTCAGCGGCAGTCATTCATTTGTATGCCAAAACCAAAGGAGCAAAGTGTAAATAACAAATTTTTGCTTCTTCAAATTTGTTCTCTTTTGTTCTTCTAAGATGGATGCAAAAATTTTTGCTTTTGATCCCATTGGCTTCTTCCTTTGTCAATTCGTACATGCCTATCAGTCTATTACTCCAAAGAAAATATTGATGATTAAATAGAATAATATTTGATAATTACAAATAATTTTAACTAAAACTTTAATGTGTTTATTATAAACAAGTAATATGCCAAGTACTGCAAAAAAAAAAACTCACTGAATCTGGCCTACTTAAATGGTTATGTGCAAAAAGAAAAATACTAGAAGGAACAACAATATATTTTTTTTATTACAAAGCAATAAGAATTTCATGTAAAATGTGAAAACATTTATGCTATCTAAATTTCAAGTAAAAGGAACAGCCAAGTGTTGAATTTTTTTTGTCAAGGAACATTACAATATGGGCTTTCCTTCTGCCATTTTGTATTTCTACACACGTAAAATATGGGGAAATAGTCATTGTATCCAACTGGGGAGAATTTATCTCAAAACTTCCATTCCAATTTCCAAACCATCTTAAATTCAAATTGTGTTAGATTCACTGTTGCCATAACCTGCAACAGTGACTCTCCCCTGGGCACTGTTAAAACAGCAGTGTCAAATTTTTTTTTTTCAATCATGAAAAAAAATTTGGATGGGTAGGCATTGGTACTAAAACACATGTAAAACTCTTTTCTTAACTGGCTAACTGCCCATGTCCCCAGCTAAACTTTCATTGTCCTGAGATTACACTTGTCCCCATCTAAACTTTCATTGTCCTAAGATTAGACTATGGACATCAACCCTAAAATTTTATTCAACCTAGCAAATTTTGCTTTTTCAATGTCTACCTTCATCCAACCACTTGACCAATTCCTTCCTCTGGACTTACGTAATAAAATTTAATACTAATGTTTTAATTATTTATATTGTTTTTCAACAATCGTATATGTAATTTTTATGCTAAGTTTCAAAAGGAAAAAAGAAATCTTATTTAAGAAGCAATACTGGATAGATTTGATCTGCTCTCTTTATCCCTTTATCAGTAATTGAGTGAACTATTAGTGGAGTATTAAATTTTTAATTTTAATGATCAAATTTTAAAATTTTGATAAATTTAAATAAAAAAAAATTGTAAAAACTGGACTTGAAAGAAAACGAAATTAAAGAGGTAAAAATGTAAATTCGATTTTTTTTTAATCTATATAAAAGGATGGTAGAATAAACCCCTTAACCAAGCCCAACCCAACTAAGTAAGCCCGTTGCACTTTGCAGCTAAAACAACGTCGTTTAATAAGACTCCCCTAGGCCCGCTTCTCCAGCTTTCATGCACAATTCCATAAATCCTAAAAAACTCTTGGGCGGCTGCAGCAATTCAAGGACCAATCATTTTCAACCTTACTTCAAATTTGATTTAAATTAAATTCCATTGTTTCAGCTTGTATTTCTTCTCAATTCTTTGTAAAAAGTTGGAGTATTTATTTCTGTTGAAGGTCCAAATCAATCAATCGCGAAATTTGCACTCTGCAAAATTAAAAAATAAGAAAATCCCGTGAAAAATGTTGGATGAAAGTGAGTTCGATATGAATTTCAAATTGTTAGCCCTTCGAATCCCTTGTGAGCTCTGCTAAATCGCCACTAGCCGCTCTTTTTTTTTAAATTTTTTTTAATTTTAGTTGTTATTTTTTTTTTAGTTTAAGATTTTTCTGTTTTAGGTACTTTGCTGGACAAGCCTCGTGCTAAACCTATAACTGAAGATCGTACACGTGAGAAGAGCCGTTACATGATTTTGTCTGAAAAAATTCAAAATCTTGGTAAGAAACGAGGCATTGTAAAATTTTCAACTTTTTGTTTGTTCAGTTAAATTTTTTTTTCTCACTGCTGGAAATTTTGTGTTTGAAATAGAACAGATTTATCAGATATTCGAAGCCCAAAACTTGATGAACTCAAGAAATTATGTGAGATCGAAGCAGTTCCATATTCATTGACCCTTGGATATTCTAGCGGACTGCTGGTCAGTTCCATATTCAATACGGTTCTCTTTAATCTTTTCCAGCGTATAGTTTTAAACCTGTGTTTAAAGGACGGTTTATGGTTTTATAGATCATATCATCATATATTGAAGCAGGTTCTGCCTCCCGGGGTGGAGGTACCTTCATCTTTTGAAACAATAGTTAAGTGTTTAACTCAATCTTCGATTGAGCTTTCCTTCTTTTTTTTTTTCACCCTGTATTTCTTTCCTGTTGCTTTCAATACCATTGGCGTCTAACATTTTGTCTGAACTCTGCAGGTCATGTTGCCCATCTAAATATACACAATAAGTTACTTCCTTTCAAAGATGTGATTGCAAAAGTCATTTATGATATGAGTTTTCGTTTGTCTCTGTCCTGAACATTTCATCATTCTTCACTGTCATTGTCCCTAGGTAAGGTTTTTTTTCTTTTTTTTTTTTTTTTTAACTTATTGGACCTGTTATTTGCATTTAATTTCCTTTTCGTCCTTTCATGGTAGCTTTTTTGCTTTGGTTCCTATTTGGTAAAACTAATCTTTTATGGCACTTAATATATAAGTTTTCTTTGCCAATACTTCAAACCTTCTGATTGCAGAGATTCTTATATTGATATTAATACTATTGGGATTTGTTTTCCTATTCTTTTGTGATCATATCTTCGTGCTTTGATCAGGAACTGTAACACTCGCTGCTTAGTATCTGTTTGTATCATGATTGTTACCATTTCTTTGCTTCTAATTGTCCATTCGTGCTACTGATTGCTCCAAGTTTAATCTCTTGGCAGAAAAATTACCCAAGAATTAAAACAGTTGTTAATAAAGTTGGAACTATTACAAATAAGTTTTGCGTGCTGAAATTTGAAATTTTGGCTGGAGAAAGTGATATGGTAACAGAAGTGAAACAATATGGGGCAACATTCAAGCTAGATTACGGTTTGGTTGATTGGAATTCTAGATTGGAACATGAACACATAAGGCTTGTATCTTTGTTCCTGCCAGCGGAGACAATTTGTTACATGTTTGCTGGTATTGGACCATTTGCAATTCCAGCAGCACAGAAAGGGTGCTTTGTGTATGCGAATGATTTAAATCTAGAAAGTGTTCACTATTTGAAGATCAATGCACAAAGCAATAAGGTTGGTGGTTGTGCTTATGCATACAATATGGATGCTAGGAAATTCATTTCCCAGTTGATGGCTGTATCAGTTTGTGAAATTGATTTAGAATCTGATGATTCCATGGTCAAAGCTTGTGACACTTGTGGCATAAAGGCCATTGTTGATTTGAAGGCAGAGGACACATAGCTTGGTAGTACCATCTGTTATTATTTTATGCTTCTTCTTGCTTTAAGTTGGGTATAAGTTTATCTGAATTTTCGATTCTCTTTCAGTTGAGGAGAAAGAAGTAGTTGGTAGTGATGTCAAAGATGATCTGGAGGAAATGCAAAATTCTTCCAGGACTGTAGACGGATCGGTAGTTGCAAGTAAAAGATCTCCACATTGTTTCACAGAAGGTATGACAAGAATGTGCATCAGGCATTAGGTTATAATTGAAGAACATGCAATAATCATATATTTTTAATTTCTTTTTTATATTCACCAGCTGGGGAAGCTAGAATTAGCCATATATGTAATTATTTTGCTCTTGCTTCGTCGGACTGAAAGAGTGAGAATTTCTGCATTGACATTGCAGAGAATGCAAATGCCCACAGTGGTCATAAGAAAAAGGGGGAATACACATAAGAGGATGAAAGGATCTGTTGTGCCCAAAGCTAAGGCCTGGGAGCATGTTGATCATGTGATAATGAATCTTCCTGCTTCTGCTTTACAATTTTTAGGTATGTAATCTGCCTATTATGATATTTGTGTATCAATATATATGCAATTGTGTCTTTGTGTGTGTTTGTGTTTGTTCTGCAGACCACTGGTCCAGTATTCCCTATAGTATAACTTTACTTTTGGTTGATCTGGTGGACATCCATGTTGATTCTAATGTTACCTCAAGTTAATCTTTCTTTCCTTCTTGTTTTGTTTGGAAAGCTAGAAGCTTTTTAGCTGGTAAACTTGCCTGTATATATTTGTGTATCATTAATGCTTATTTTTTTTTTACCATTGATTTCATTACTATGAAGTATGAATATGTGGCATTATCAGAACTAAGTACTAAATCCATCTGATTAGTGTTGCTTGCATTGGAAAGATGCATGCATCCTGTTAATCTTTTTTATTCATTACAAATGCATCTTCTTTTCCCCACCCTGGTGCAGAGGTAAGGGGGAAATAGTCCTTAGTTAATGGGACTAGGTGATCACCTCACTGTACATACAACTTTTTGCTCCAATGATGATGCTTTTTCCCGTCTGCTTTTGTGAAAGCGAGAACAAAATTTATTGCATGTATCCTACTTGTCCATTTCATATGTGCTACCAGTTTACCAATTTTCCACATGATGCTCCTTTGTATGAAGATTTGGTCAAAGAAGTTTGATTTTTTCCACAGATGGATTTAGGGGTATTATCTCAAGGATATACTGGAAGGGGCCTCTTCCATTGGTTCACTGCTACTGCTTCATACGAGCAAGTGAAACTAAAGAATTGATAATATCAGTAAGTCTGCCGCACTGTTATTTATATTTCTTTCATTACTTGTTTAAATAGCTTCTTAGGTTATCTGGGTAAGTTCCAGGATTGAGAAGTTTTAGGTAATTTCATTCTTTTTCATTTTTATACCACTACTTGAATTGCTTGTGTTAAGCCACAACATGGATGACATTCTTTCCCATGAATATCTTGTCCTTTACATAAGCCCCTTTAATCTAGTTCATTTGGGAAGGTCCATAGGATGCAAAAATTTATCAGTTAATCTCTCGTTATTTTATTTATGCTGTTAACTGTATTTGATTTCTCAAATCTTTTACAGGAGGCAGAGTCTGCCTCAAATGCCAAAATAAAAGACCCAGTGTTTCTTATGGTTAGGGATGTTGCCCCTAAAAAGCTGCAAACTACAAAGATTTTATCTGTTCTATTTTTATCATCCCAACCCCTCTTTTTTGTTGAGGGTGGAGGAGGAATTTGCATTAATCACATTTGCGGCCTCTAATTATGAACTATACTTTATGGTGCAGGCAATGTTTTGCTTAAGCTTTAGGCTGCCAGAAGCATGCTTTGTCGACGACATCACCGACAGTACCTGTCATTAAACTGGCGTGTTATGAGTTATGACCCTTCTTCAAAGTCAGAGTGGTATTCTTCCATACACATAGCTGAAACACTCAAGAACTGGGCAATGGAGCCAACCTAGCATTGATGTCAAGAAGTATCCATTTTTCTATTGCTTGCACCTGTGTTTTGGCATATATGTATGTTCACCTTTTGTTGTAACTTGCAAGACACCTGATTTAATCGATCCCACCTGCAGAAATGAGGTGTTATTATTGGCTGTGTATTAGAAGGAGAGAAAAGAAAACTATCTTACATGTGATAAGATAGTGCTATAATTTTCACACGTCGAATATTAATTGTTAGGAATTCTTTCTTCATTTAATGTAAACACTGAATAAAGTCTTGGTTTTTGCATTCAGTTATGATGGGCCATCAGGGGCAATTAGGCTGCTTCAACCGTCAGGTCAGGGCATAAGTATGTTGCACCCAACGTTCAATGCTATACATTTTTCCAGGCTCTTTCGCTTCTGCAGGCCCTAGTGTCTTAAATGGCATTTTCCCACACAAAGCTTTTGGAAAGTGTAGTATCTTTGATGGTTAGAGATGATAGGATTTGATTTGATTTTTTTGAATAATGTATAAAATTATAAATTTTTAAAATTTTATTTGAATCAAATTTTTATATGATTTGAATCAAATTTAATCAAATTTTATTGATTCGATTCAATTTAAAGGTTTTTTAAATTTAAATTTATTGTTTTTATATATTATTTTAATATAATTTTTAATATATTTAGATATAAAATAATTATTTTTATTTTATAAAAATTTAAATTATATATAAAAGCTAATAAAAGTACATAATTATATTTGATTCGATTTTTTATTTTTTGATTCGAAGTTAATATATACTTTTAATATTAGAATTTAATTTGAATCAAATAAAAAAATTTAATCTGAATCGAAAAAAAAAAAATACAGTATCTAATAAATTTTTTTATTTTTTCATTTTTTTTGTCACCCTTACTCATGGTGAAGTTAGCATGTTCTTTTTAGGTATATCCTATAACTTTTTACTTATAGTAAGTTTAGTAATTTATGTATTTGTATTTTGCTGTATAAAACATTAATAATTAATATATTCAAATTACGAATTATATAAAATATATTTTTATTTTTATTAAATTCATACATAATTTTTATTAAAATTTTAATATATTCTCTTTTCAATTTTTTTTTTATTGTTTTCATGTTTATCCTCATGTCAGATTTTAAATATTTCTGTCTATGCGAAGGCTTATAGGCTAAAAGGTAAACTTTTCCCCGTATTTTACGACCAAAAAAAATGAAAAGCCCCCTACTTTTGATTTGAAGAAAAGAAACAAGGAAAAAGGCTCTTTGAATCCCCCAGTTGTGTAGGAGCCTTTGGCCTTTGAATCCCCAAGAAAAATTGGTGCCAACCACCAAGAAGCTGGGAATATGATAACAAATAAAACTAGACACACAGGATTTGGGTTAAGGTTTAGAGGATTCTCTTTATACCTTGTTTCAGAAAAGCAGTCAATTGGATTTCAACTCAAGCTGTAAAGCTAATGCCATGGTCTCCAACTTTATAGTGTTACATGATTTTTCCCTTTTCTTTTTCACTGTGCCTTGACTCTCAAATCAATACCATGCTTGCTCTTATCTTCTCTAAAATGACCTTTTTGAACATTATTGTCATAATTCTTTTATAAGAAACAGGAAAAACTCTTTAGTTAACATTTTTTATATGCTCCAACTGATCAAATGAAATGATTTAATTTCGGATTCAGGATTGCGAGTAATCAGAATTTAATTATTAACAATTTCAAATATAAAAAAATTACTGTTATAATTAAATGAAGGTCAAGGTTAATATACTAAAGAAGCTTGTTAAAAGGGAAAACCTTTTAGTCTTTAAACAGGTATTGCTTAGCCATTTTGGGACACAAATCAGAATGCTCTGGCAAATAGATTTAACTGAATAACTGAATTAAGGAACGAATCTTCCATTTTTTTTTTCTGCTTTTATGCAGTAAAGCCAAACCATTAAAATGATCGTCAACTTGGCCATGAAGCTTCTCAAAAGCCAATGATAAAAAGTGAGTGAGTGAGAGAGAGAGAGAGAAAGAAATGACATTGCTAAGAAAGAGAGTGTCCACACTTGCTACTCGTTTTCTCATTTCTAAGGATCTATAAGGTCGGCACTATGAGCCAGAAATATTCCCCTCTCCCTCTCCCACTCTCTTGCAATATTCCAATACCTTAACCTCCCAAAACCCAATCATTATTTTTTGCTCCTCATCATCATAATTCTTGATTCTTTCTGAACCCAAGAAAGATTCCAAGAGAACCCAGTGTCACGAAAAAAAATGTCCTTGGTTTTGTTGTTTCTTTTCTTAATGACGCTGGTTCCAAATGGGAATAGTGTTGGTGTGAACTGGGGAACCCTGGCAACCCACCACCTCCCTGCAAATAAGGTGGTGAAAATGCTCCGAGATAATGGGTTTGATAAGTTGAAGCTTTTCGAGTACAATGAAGAGATTATGATGGCTCTAACTGGGACAGATATTGAAGTGATGATGGGAATTCCTAATAGCATGTTGAAAGAGATGAGTGAGGAACCAGGAGCTGCTGCTTCTTGGGTTTATAATAACGTTAGTGGTTATTGCTACGATGGAGGAGTCAATATCAAGTTGAGTAACATAGTTTCTACCCAGTCTTGCATAATTTCTTAAATGCATGCTCTATTTCTTCTTGACTTCTTGAACTGTTTTTATTCATTAATTTTCACTCACAGGTTCTCGCTTGTTTATCTTCAGCGGACTTCTTGAGTCGAGTTTCTCATTTCTGTTTTTCATTGTTAGCTCTTTATTTGCCAGTGATGACCATGTTAGTTTTTCTGCCCGTTTTTCTATTTTCTTGGAAATTATGGTTCCTCCTGTGGTTTATAAATGTGAGACTGGTCGTTGATCTCATCGAGGGTTTAACCACCTTATTTTAAGGTCATTTTCTGAGCCTTTTATTCTTTATGACTAGGATGCATGGGCTGATTCCTTGATTCTGTTCAAGGAATATTGAGTCTTTTTTTGTTGGGCATATAGAGCCCTACTCAACCTCGAAGTGGATTTTTAGGTCAGTGGTCTACCTCTTTAACTGTCGATACTCAATATCAATATATAGGGCAATTTGTCTTGAGGTCCTGCCAAGAATTTGACAGCAACACACTCCACTTCTAAAAGGGCACACAGATTTGCAAATCGCGTCCAGTCAAAAGGCATCCTCTCCCCATGCAAATGAGCTGGAGGTGACTCGTATCGCTGGGGTTCAACCCCACTTTATAGCTGATTTTATTTGCATATCTAAAAAAGAGGGGGATGGGGTGGGGGTATGATCTACTTGTATTTGCCCAGGATCTATTGGCCTTTGGCAGCATTTTAGCTTGGTAAAACCCTTTCATGCAGTCATTTCTGAGCGTATGAACAAGCCGCATACGTTAAAGTTGTCATTTTTAGATGTCCTTCTAGTTACGGTACTGTCGTTGCATTTCAAGTAATTTTATTTATGCAGGTCGTATGGAGCAACTAAAACAAGTTTTGGTTTTATGACAAAATATACTTTGGAAATTGTTTGTAGGTATGTTGCTGTAGGCAATGAACCCTTCCTTCAAACATACAATGGCACCTATCTACGGTACACATTACCAGCCCTCAAAAATATCCAGAAAGCCCTTGATGAATCTGGGGTTAAGTGTCAGTACAAGGCCACAGTTCCCTTCAATGCAGACATCTATAACTCCCCAGAATCCAATCCAGTTCCATCTGCTGGTGACTTTCGGCCTGAGGTCAAGGACCTTGCAATTGACATAATCGAGTTTCTGTATTTACATGATGCACCTTTCACTGTCAATATCTATCCCTTCCTCAGCCTTTATAGCGATTATAATTTCCCCATGGAGTTTGCATTTTTTGATGGAGCAAGCAAGCCTCTTAGAGATGGCTATAACGTTTACAGAAATGCATTTGATGCAAACCTTGATACTCTCGTTTATGCTTTGAGTAAAGCTGGATTCTCTGACATGGAGATCATAATTGGAGAAGTTGGCTGGCCAACTGATGGTGACAAAAACGCCAATACCCAAAATGCAAAGAGGTTTAACCAAGGATTGATCAAGCATGCTTTGAGTGGAATAGGAACCCCAGCTCGGAAAGGAAAGATTGAAGTTTATCTATTCGGCCTCATCGATGAAAATGCTAAAAGCATTGAACCTGGAGGCTTTGAGAGACATTGGGGAATTTTCGAGTTCGATGGAAAACCAAAATACCAACTGGATTTAACAGGTTTGAAAGTTGACAAAGGGCTAACTCCAGTGGAGGATGTGAAATACCAACTCAAAAGATGGTGTGTACTCAACCCTGAAGCAACTGATTTGGAAGAGTTGCCTGATAGTATTAGCTATGCATGCGGCTTATCAGATTGTACTGCTTTGGGTTATGGTTCCTCCTGCAATCACTTAACTGCTGAAGGAAATGCCTCTTATGCTTTCAACATGTACTACCAAGTGAACAACCAGCACCTTTGGGACTGTGATTTCTCTGGTTTGGCTATAGTCACTGATGATAATCCATCTGAGGAAGGTTGCCAATTCCCAGTCATGATAGCTCATGCTAATTCTTACATGCTGTTTCATGGTGATCGTTTGGATGTTTTACTAAGAATTATTATAGGATTTATTGTACTATTTTCATTTCTGATATGAAAGATCGTATTATAAAAAATAATTTCCATACCGAAAAATGAAAAAGGAAGACTATATTCTTTTAGATATGCTATATCACTACATCTTTTTTTTTTTTGTAGAATTGGAACTTTCATAAAAATCTTCATTTTTAGTTATGAATTTTTGCACCTTGATTTATCAAGTCCAATGATGTTAAAAGAATAACCTATAGTCGTGTAATAATATTGGCCAAAATAAAAAGAAAAAAAAAACAAAAGGAATGTTGGAATTTTTAAGTTTTAATCCAGCAGGATATTGGTCAAAAAAAGAAAAAAACTGACGGCAGGATAAAAACGACAAGTAAGGTTGTGTTTTGATGTAAGCATCCATACGACGCCGTTTTAGGAAGGAACAAATTTAAAGTTTTAACCCAAACCTGAACCGACAATTGGTGGATCTGTTGGGTTTCTTGCTTCTTTCTTGTTCTCATGCATATGACGAATCTATCCATAACGACGACGTTTCCCCTTCCCGAATGACACCTTTTTCTTAATTTACGGTTTCAGAATTTTCCCAATTCACTCCGAGATTTTTACAAAATTTTCTCCCATCGTACGAAAAAAAAAAAGTGATGGGATTATCACAAAAGAGAGTTAAATCCTGTGGAAGCTTTTAATTTTAGGACAAATTAATTATCTTTTGAATACAATTGTACTAAAAAAATGCCTGTGAAACCTGGGCAATCGTCGTATCGGGACCGAACGCAGGAGTTTTTGAGCGTAGCGGAAACGCTAAAAAAGTCAGTTTCATCCGCTAATAATGCGAAGTTGAGTAATAGCAGCAGTAGCGTTAGCACGAAGCCCGAGGATCGGCGGTCTGCGGCGGCAGTTCAATCGGAATTCAACAGAAGGGCCTCGAAGATCGGGTTCGGTATCCATCAGACATCACAGAAGCTAGCCAAGCTTGCTAAACGTGAGTTGATAGAATTTGTAGAATTTTATATTTATTTGCTTTTATGTAATTAATTGTTTTAATGCATTTTTACCTAGGAAAAATTAACTTATTTGCATTCTTAATGAGGAAGTAACGGCAGATGAGGAACCAAGTTTTGATTGAATTTGTTTTTATGAACTTGTTAATTTTTTTCTCTGTTTTTAATTTTCACGAATAGAAAGGTTTCTGGGGATGTTATGAAGTTTGTTTGGAATGAAAATAGTAGTCCTCTGGTTGTTGTTTGACGCATTGTGATATGGCGAGCGATAGCTTATGTTGTGTGGTTGTATTGGTTGCTTTAAAGTAAGATGATTCCACTAGTAACCATGCAGATGAGTCATGAAAATGGTGGCGAAAGCAGCTTCTATATTTAACAGTTATGGTGTGACTGTAATGATTGTAACATGCTGGGAGTTTGGGTCTTTTTAGATCATAGGTGCAGTGCAGGATGGAGGTGAGTGTCACACTCACTCAAGTTGACACGCAATTATTCGGAATAAATGGAGAAAGTACACAACTTATGCTGAAAGCCACAAAAGTATCATTCTTGTAAAAATTTGTTATATTCCTATAACTAAGCACTGGCAGCAGGTCATAAAACATTATTTTAGAGAAGCAGCAACTCCCTGAGTTACAATAGATTTACCCAAATGCTAAATGATTGTGAGTCGATGCATTGCATCTGCATGGTTCTCAATATGTTATGAGCTAAATCTAGCTAAATCTTTGTCAAAAGGCTTTTATGCTCTCATAATATCTATGTTGTTTTGATGTTTTGGACCTTTAGATGGTTTGGGGAGGATATGTCTCCGAACCAGATATCTTTGGCCTTAAAGTAAAGAATGTGATGAGGACTTGTTCCATGAGTTACTGAAAGGCACAATTCTGTGTAATGATTTTTTTAAGAGCTCTACTGTATGGTCGAACTGGCTGTAGGTTGGCTTAAAAGTTGGTTGCATAAACTATAGAGGCTTCAATATGTTGTTACTGCTGGTTTCTTTTTTCTACGTGTGAGATTGTGTAGCAAGGCTGGCTAATAAGGAGAATCTATTTCAGGCTAAGTGCTCGGGGTCATAATTGAATTTTGATTGAGCATGATGATTAGAATTGTTATTTCATTGACATTTGCAAATTGAACATAATAATTAGGCAGGTATTATTTATATCACTATGTTGCTAATTGCATGATTCACACCCATGTTGAAGCTTAATGTTTATTGCATGCAACAAAAGAAATCCCAGGATGTTCAAATATCAAGTTGATCTTGGTAATCATAACTTTGCATCTGTAAATATATGGACTTGGCTTGAGATTACAATTTACAAGCAACTGGTTACATTGTCTGATTGTTTCCTTTTCAATCACCATAACTTTTCATTCAATTTAGTTGTACTTACACCAATTACTGTTTCCTGTTGTTGGATTTTTACATGTAAACTTATCTGTATCTATATGTTGAACGACATTTTCTTATATTTTATTTCTTAAAAGAAGATTTAATTTTTGTTGGGTCTCATTGGCTTGAGGGCTTGTTCCAATTGTTCTACAAGTTTTGCTATTTGCTTTGTTTTATCATCATCTAATTGATCCATTTTTGCATATAATCACATGTTACCTTGTTGCTGGTTTATTCTAAGACACCAAGTATGGTAATATAGTGCTATTAAAACTAATACTGCAGAGACTGTAATTAGATAAAATTTTATTTTGTGACTATGGTAGAAGTTAAACAGAACTGTTTATTTAAGTATTATTTTTCTGTCTCACCAGTGGCGAAGAGAACATCAGTGTTTGATGATCCAACTGCTGAGATCCAAGAACTGACATCTGTAATAAAGCAAGACATTACTGCACTTAATTCTGCTGTAGTGGACCTCCAACTGCTTTGCAACTCACAAAATGAAAGTGGAAATATTTCTAGTGACACCACAACCCATTCAACAACAGTTGTAGATAACCTAAAGAATCGACTAATGAGTGCAACTAAAGAGTTTAAAGAAGTCCTGACCATGAGAACAGAGGTAGCGTGAATGTTGTGGTAGAAATTTGTTGTTTTAGAATATGGCATATTTCCTTTGTGTCATTGCCTTGTCTAAATTGTGGTGTTCTTGTATTCATGCAGAATATGAAGTTTCATGATAATAGAAGGCAATTGTTTTCTTCAAATGCTTCAAAAGATTCTACAAATCCTTTTATTCGCCAGAGACCACTGGCTACTAAATCAGCAACTTCTTCATCAACAAGTCCTCCCCCTTGGACTAATGGTTCCACGTCATCATCCCAGTTATTTTCAAGGTATAACTCCTGGCAAACCTTTCTTTTTCTATCCTTTGTGAGCGTTGAGGGGAAACTCATGCTATCAACATTTTCTAGTTGTTGGTATTGCATGCAGAAGGGGAACAGAAACATGGTTTGCAACTTGCTGTATGTGAACTACTTTACATGCTTCTATGTAAAAACAGATGATTATAGTTTCTTTTAGTTCTTAACAGTTAAGTCTTGCAAAGTTTCTCCATGTTGTTAGCTGTTTGAAATGCACAAAATGAAGACTAGCAAGCAAAAAATGTTTTCCGTTGTGGATGGTGTTGCCATATCTCAGGTTGCTAGGATTAGCGGCATTTGTTTGTAAGATCATGTACTTGTCCAGTTTTTGTCTGTAGCTATCTGGTAGCACGTCCTTTGACATCTTTAAAAACGTAACTTTTCATTTACTGATGAGTCATGATTAATTGGTTAGTTGCATTTCAAATTGTGTAGTAAATTCTTACTGAATAAGATTTAGGTGTTTCCAGTCGACATATATGACTTTAAGAACAGGAGCAGAAAAGAACAGTTTCCTACCTTCTATCTTGTGTCTTGTTTTTTCCTTCACAGCAAGCATGTAGATGGGGAGTCTCAGCCTTTATTACAGCAGCCGCAGCATCAACAGCAACAACACCAGCAGTTGGTTCCCCTGCAAGACAGTTATATGCAGAGTCGAGCTGAAGCTCTTCATAATGTGGAGTCAACAATTCATGAACTAAGCAATATCTTCACACAACTAGCAACCATGGTTTCTCAGCAGGGGGAGCTTGCAATCAGGTTCCTCCATCATCTCAATTGTTTCTTGATTTTCCCAATGACCAAAAGAAAAAATATGTTTGACATTAGATAGGATTTTATGCTAACTTTTGGTTGTTACATACATACGCTAGGATTTTCCATGTTGCTATTACTGGTTCCTGTCTAAAAGAATATTAGATTAAACCTTAGATTATTATGGTTTTTTTTTTTTTTTTTGAAGTGTCAAAGATTGAGATGCTGTGCTTAATTCCTCCAAAACATTGGGCTTATCAACAGCATACTACCACTAACACCTTTGGTGAAATGACAGCACTTTGAATGCATAACTAAAAAGATAGAGTTTCGAGTTTTGACCCATCTTTCTATATTTATACTTGTTAATGTATATAATATGCACATGTTTAAAGCAAAAGACATTAAAGACTTGGCATATCTACAATTAGCCTCGTGTTAGTTTGGTCTATCTCAAATTATGGTAGGAAAATGGTCGCCATGTTCAAATTTTGTTTATCCTGGTAATTGGTTTGCCAGATGATGGGGGACTGAGCTTATCATATACACTGCTTTGGTTGGCAGGATTGATGAAAATATGGATGAGTCACTGGCAAATGTGGATGGGGCACAGAGCCAGTTGGTACGATACCTTAACAATATTTCATCTAACCGTTGGCTGATGATCAAGATATTCTTTATATTGATTGTATTCCTCATGTTTTTCTTATTTTTTGTGGCATAAATATAAATTTGGTTCGAATTTTTCATTCTTTCAAAATTGTACTTAAATTGAAAAAAATTTCTAGTATTATTTTTTATCCGTATTATTGTACATTAGAATCTTGTAAATTGTGGTTGGATACTATAAATATAAAAAGATGTAAATCTTAATAAAAAATGATGAACCGATCAAGTAATAAATTTTTTCACGGTGGTGTCCTCGACCCCTGCGGTTGTAATAGTAAGAGGCAAAGAAGCCACGTGGTGAGCTTTGATAGGTCTTTGATACTGTGACTCTGATCTACCTGCAGTAACCCTAGTACTCCTCCCTTTTTAACCAGATAGCGTAACGGTAGGGGTATAGCTTTCAGCTTTCTCACGAGACCCTGTCCCACTCCCACCTGAATTCAAACAATAGAAAGAAAATATTAGCGGTCTTTTGAATTTGAATCTCGTAACTCGTAACGGTTGAATCCCCCCTTTCCTCCTCTTTACTCTCTCCCGTCCTCCTACCATCCCCCCATCTCTCTCTTGGTCTCACGCCTCCTCGCTATGGCTTCGCTTACTCCAGGAATCCTCCTAAAGCTCCTGCAGTCCATGAACTCTCCCACGCGCGTCACCGGCGACTACCGCTCCGCTCTCCTTCAAGTAATTGGTATCGTCCCAGCTCTCGCTGGCTCTGACCTTTGGCCCAACCACGGCTTCTACGTTCAACTCTCAGATTCCCTCAATTCCACCTACGTCTCCCTCTCCGAGCGCGACACCGAATTAATCCTCTCCAACCGGCTACAGCTCGGCCAATTCGTCTACGTTGATCGATTCCATTTTGACTCCCCCTTGCCACGTGTCTCCGGCATACGTTCCATAGCAGGTCGCCACCCTTTCGTTGGTTCCCCTGATCCTCTCATCGCCCGCATTTCGTCTTCCAAAAGGGATTTCCTTATACAACCCGTATCCGAATCCGAATACTCCGTGGTTCCTATTGCGGTTTACTTGTCTAACAAGAAATTGGAACAACAGCAAACTCCAACTATAAACAAGGATTTGAAAATTGAAAAGCCCAAAACAAGGCAGCCTCTCGCGCCTAGAGATAATGTTACAGTTAATGAAAATTTGGAATCCGAATCCAAGGTTTCAGAAAAGCCTCCGCAAAGATTTTCGTCACCGGCGACCGCCAAACGTTCCGTTTCAGCTGTTAAGAAAACCAATGCCGTGGTTGTGGAAAGAGATCCATCTCCGGCGGGGAAAGGGAAGAGATCTGCATCTCCGGTACCGTCAAAATGCGTGGTACCCAGCTTGGTGGCAGCCAAGGAAGAGAATAGGAAAGTTGCGAGAGAGCCGGCGATCATAGTTCCATCAAGGTATAGGCAACCTTCGCCTAACGGAAGGAAGCAGGCATCACCGAGTGCCCGAAGAGCATCGCTTTCTCCAGGGAGGAGGCTGTCCGGGGGGTTGAGGGTTTTGCCGGCTGTAGGGGATTCGAAGAAGAAGATGGCAACGATTGTTGCTGGGATTTCGAAGGTCTCCGAAGCTCTGGTGGGATCGGCAAAGAGTAGTAGGAAGAGCTGGGATGAGCAGCCAGAGAAAGGTTCAGGGGAACACAAGGAGAAAGCTTCTGTTAAGACTAAGCCGAATCTGCAAGCAATTTTGCGGACTCAGGTAAATATATTAACCATCCTAATTTGCTAGCTTGATTAATTAGTCACTAAAACCCCCCCCCCCCACCAAAAAAAAAAAATGCTGAGGCTTATTTGAAGTTGATTTGCAATTGCATTAGGGAGATTCTTTTTATTCTCATTTCAACTTCGCCCGAAAATATCCCACAATGGATTTTAAGAATGACAATATAAAATTTTATATAATAGATTATCATGTATAATCTAAGTTACATGTGCATCTATGTTTCATAATTTCTGACTTTCCGACATTTTTCCAGGCAGCCATTTCAAGTCGTTTAAGTGATGTACATATTCAGAAATCCAATGATGAACATTCTTCGAGCAATAAGAAAACAAATGCTAGCCCACCTGAAGATGGTTCGGCCCCGGAGAAATCAAAATATGCGAGTGGGGCTTTGGGAATCACCATTCATGAAAAGAAATGGACTGATGGTAGTGTTTCATGGGATTCCCTACCTGCTGACCTTGCAAAGCTTGGAAAGGTATGGAGCGATTTCAGGACTTATCACGAAGCTAATCAAATCCCTCTTTTGACTTTAAATATATAAATTTGTGTGTTGTGCTTTTGCTATTCTGTTTGCTTTCCATTTAAGATAGTGCTTTTGTTTGATTAGAATTTCCTATTTAAGATGCTGCGTTTTTTATATTATCTTCTAGCCCAAATTGAGAAAGGTGATGTGATGCATTTGTCATGAATCAATATTCTACTTTGTTGCTTTGTATCTCCAACAAAAAAAGGGAATGAAAAGGAAGAAGCTGAAAAAAAGGGACTCCTATCATTGCCTTTTCTGTATAGGAATGATATAATTATAGATGGAAGGGCAACGTGTGAGTGCCTAATGCTTCTGCTAGATTTGTATACTCATTCCTAACAATTGCTTTTATAGAGTGGAAATAATATGCTATAGCTTCTGGGAAAGCTTTAACTTCATACAGTTTCATCTTTAATATTGGGTAGATAAGACCAATTTACCACCTAGTCTTTGCATATAATTAGTTAACTCATGTTACTATGGGTTATTGGAAAGTCTCAATGCCATGGCAAACATATTCTACTTTCATTATAAACATTTAGCTAGCATGCTATGGTTGTGTACAAGAACTAGCATCATCATCATTGAACTAGTGTAGCACATGAATTAAAAAGTAGAGAAATGTCGTTCAGTTTTCAATTTAATTAGACTGTTATTATGCTAGAGGTTAGATTTAAAAATGATCTTGTTCTGTGAAAGTGAGGTCCGTTGAGGTTTGCAATGATGACATTGTGCACTTAGAAACTTTGGAATATATAACTTTGGAGTACATATTAGATAAAATGCTGTAATATTGGAGTTTTGTCCATGAACAACACTCTATTCATAGATCAGTGCTTTCTATTATTGATGCTTTATATCTGAACAAATTCTGCATTTGTTTATTTGATTTGGAATCCTGGAATCTTTTTAATGCTACATTTCTGCCTTATGCATTTGATCAATAGTGTGCGGAGGAATGCTGATATCCTTAACACACTTTAATGATAAACAAATCTAAATAATTATTCCCAATTATTACAGAGATGTAACGGAAACAAAATATTCTGTTATCTGAAATATTGATTTGGAATGTAACTGACATTAAGCCCAGAGCCTAAAATCTTGCAATATTTTTAAAAACTGAATTCGTACTTTCAATACCTTGTCTGAATGCAGGAGGCTATGCAAAGGAGAGCTCTTGCCTCCAAAGCTGCAGCAGAGGCATTGGAGGAGGCCATTGCTACAGAGTCTGTTGTCAGGAATTTAAGGTTAGCATCCATTCTAACATGCGTATGCATGCAACTCCAGGCTATCACATTGAGTGTTGCAATGTTTAGCATATAAATGAATAATGTGACAAATAATTTGATGCATCGGTCTTTATTCGGTATCTTATATAGTAGGAATTATCACCTTAATTTATTTGGTATTAATTATTTATGCATTTTGTTTATGCCGAAATAAATTATCTATGCATAAGTTAGACCAAGCACCATATTTTGTCAACAAAATTCTGTGCCTAATTTTGTGCCCCTATATTTTCCAGCATGTTTTCAGAACTCTCCTCTAAATCAAAGGCTGGGAATCCTTTGCCCACCATCGACCATTTTTTTTCGATTTATGATGATGTCGTGAAGTATACTGGGATTGCTGAGACTGTTGCAGCTAGCCACAATTCTAACGCAGAAAATGCCTCCACGAAGCACTCAAAAACCTCTTTTCTATGGGTTGAAGCTGCACTGGCTACTGATCTTGAGATAGTTTCCCTTCTAACCCCTCAAAATAACGAGTCTCCATCTGCTCTGCAGAGAAGTTTGTCCAAGAGGCAATCTCATCATGCTTCACCCAAAAACCAACTCAAAGCTAGTTCATTGCCACAGCTGGAACCTACTGGTGCAATGTGGACAAGAGGTCAAGGAATGAAAGAAACGGTGCATTTTGCACTGAACTTGAAGTCTGAGATGCAAATGTGGTTTCTTCGCTTCATTGAGGAGTCCCTGGATGCCGGTTTCCGGGTGCTTGGCGAGTGTGCTTCTGGTGGTAGTAAAGCATTACCTTTGGACTGTGGATCCATTGCAGCAGTTTTATCACAGTTGAAAAGGGTCAATGATTGGTTGGACCAAGCAGTTTCAATCGGGGATGAACCATTGGTAGACAAGGTTGAGAAGTTGAAGAGGAAAATCTATGGCTTTGTCATTCAGCATGTGGGAACCACTTTTGACAATTCCCCCCATCTTTCTTCATCTTGATTCTTGGTTTACTTCATTTTGCTTGTTTAAACTTAAACAAGAATGTTTTTTTTTTTTTGTTATTGTCTGAAGTTATTCAGTTCTGGTTAAAAAGGTTGATCCCTTGTGTAACTAATGCAGATAGCATCGTTTTGGTATTATCAGAATTCATTTTGTCGCTGTCGTTTTAATTTGTTGACTCTTTCAATGCACTTGGGTCCCAACCAGCCACCACAATTTGACCGAAACTCTCGAGTTTGCCCATGTCTTGAGCCTTACCCTATTCCCTCAACTGAAGTTTAGCTCCAAGTCGTCAAACTAGGCACCTTCCCATTAGCATAATATTTTGTTTGGAAAAGTCGTTTCTCTGTCAAAATATTGTAGCATTTTTTTCCTAATAGTATTAAAATTTTGGATAAACTTTAAGGAAAATTCTTATAATAAACAAATTTAATCTTGCCAATGAACTTGTTTGGTTATAAGAACGGAAAGTAAGGAAATTCGGAGTTATTTTATAGGTGAAAAAAGTTGGTCCCTTTTTTTTTTTTCAATTACATTTATATAATTAATTATTACATCATTAAATCATTAATTAATAATTTATAATTTAATTAAACAATCAAAATCACATAAACTTTAAATATAAAATTGTAAGATTTTAAGATATCTTCTTTATTATTAAGTCAATATCTCATTGACAAAAGTTATTCCGACTTTAAATTAATTTAATCCGCTCAAAATCAACCTGAAAAGCCAAGAAAATCTCAAACAGTAGCTTAATCTAAAGACTTAAATCATAAACGTGAACATTTGCACATCATTTTCTGGCCCCATGGTTGTCTTTGGCTACATGTGTGTTTTAAGCAAACATGTGATTATGGACCTTTTTTTTCTGCCTATCAAATCGCAATCCACCGTCCAAAAAAAAACATACTGTAGAAAAAAAAAGAACTGTACTAATTTTTCAATTATTAATTTATTATATCTAAATTACCTTTATGAATAATTTATTTTTTTATCAGTTGATTTAATTAATTAAAATTTATTTTATTCGATCAAAAAATTTTGAATTTGAATAATGTCGATGGTTAATTATTGAGATCATGTCGATGATTAATCGTTAGAATTATCTTGATGTACAACCTACAATCATTTATTTTAAATTATCAAATACGATACATCTTATAATAATTTGAAAATTGAACCAATTATTTGTCTTATAATTTATAATTGTAAGGAGATTTTAATTACTAACAATAGTAAAATCTATTATTAAATGTATAATTTATAATTTCCGTAATAAAATTTAAAATTTGACAATATTTAATAACAATAATAGTAATATAAACAAATGATCCAATTTTTCTTTTTTTTTTTAAAAGAAAGATAATGATAGCAGCCATATTTTTCTTTCTTTTTTTTTTTTTTTTTTGGTGCATGCAGTGGTAATAATTTTCAAGTTCGAGAAAAGCATTTCACATAACACCTAGATAGGAAAAAGGAACAATATTAATAAAATAAAGTGTAACAAGCTTTCTTTGTGCCAATCAACAACATAGAGAGTGACCTACATTTTACTCAGCAATATATATATATATATATATATATATCTAACAGATTTTAAGGATAAAAATGCATGACAGAAGGAAGAAAAATACTACTAACAAAAATCATATTTTATTTAATTAATAAATTAATCCACCTTGACAAAAAATGATTTGACACTTAAAATTAAAATTTATTAATAGTTTGTGAAATTAAAAAGTCTTTGTTTAATTATTTAATTTTATTTAAGGAAAATTAAAGGAAATATGCAAAACTCACTCTTACCACGTAATAAAATGATAAAATTTATCTTTATCCAAGAAGAAGCAGCCAAAACCTATGGCAAGTTGGTAATAGAAACAACAAAAAATGTGGGTCCAAAATGTTTGTAACGCCTGCCAAATTTTGACTTCTGATCAAATAATTTGTTTTTTTTTATTATTATTATAGTTTTATAATTATTTAATTATAATAAAAATTATATAAAGTTTCATAAAAAAATTTATAAAATTTATCAGAGTGAGTTTAATTTAAAATTTTAATTAATTAATTATAATATAATAATTAAAAATTATATAATTCATTTTTATTCATACGTGTGATGCTTCACGTATCTTCTTTTAACAAGAAAAAGCCAAAAGTTCCAATGGGCTCTGGGCCCCACGTCATTCGAACCACATAATCTAATCCGATCATCATTTGATCAAACGGCTCACATTCACTCAATGGCTAACTACACTTAAATCCCTACACAGGCTCCTATCCCCGTTAACCTTAAACAGTAAACACTCACCACCATTAATTTTTAATTTTCTACAATGAAATAAAAAAATAAAATTTAAATATGACATTCGCTTTGCGTTTTGAATTAAATACACAAAAATTATTGAAATAGACAAATTTATATAAAATTTTTTAGATAAAATTTGTATAATTTTTTAAAAAATAATTTAATAAAATTTTAATAAAAAATTTAAATTATAAAATATATATTTATTTTTTTATAATTCAAATTGCATCTATACTTAATTAAGAATAAAAATTTTGTTAATATTTTAATTAAAAATATTTATATAAAAATATAACAAAATTTATTAAATTTTTTTTTAATTTACAAATTTAATATATATAATGAAATCTTTTAATTTATTGATTTTAATTTTTAATTTTAATTTTAATTTAATTAATTTTATTATAAAATTTTATAATTTTACTTAAAAAATTTCTTTTAAATCTTTGCCTATTTAAAATTATAATATCACAATTTGAATTGATAAATTAAAAAAATATATTTTTTATTTTTTATTTTTCTGTCGCATTTAAAATTAAATATTTTATGAACAAAAAAGAAAACAGAAAAAAAAAGAAAAGAAGGGTTGTCTTTTTCTTTTTTTTTTTCATTTCTCAGTTTTCTTTCTTTCTATTTATATTATTATATTGGAAACTAGGAAACACTAAACATACATTTGAAGAAGATCTTGCTTCCTTCACCTTGCCTTATCTTCTTAATTTTATTCGTATTTTCCATTCAGAACCAAAACGTCACAATCCGTTCAGGCATTTCTCAGATCAAAAAAAAAAAAAATCTAACCTTTCTTTTTCAGTTTCTCGTTTATTCTACTATATTTCAATAAAAATCTGAAATTTTCCGTTCTTTATCTCAAAACGATTTTTTTAACAACCCAAGGTTTTTTCGTTGTTTAAAAATCGTTTCTTTGATAAACTACTGTTGTATTTAGCGTTCAGAGGTGTTAAACCAAAAAAAACTTTAGGTGCGTTTGGTGACGGGGGTGGGGACATTCTATTCTGGGATTGGATAAGAGATAAAAATGGTAGGAGGAGGGAATAGCAGGAGGGATGAGTCTTTGGTGATTAACAGCACGAATGTTTTTGCGGCGCTTGGGAGTTTGAAAAAGAAGAAGAAGAAGGGAAGTGAAAAAGAACATCAGGGTTCTTCTTCTAAGAGCAAAGGGAAGAAGGAAGGGGAGAAGGAAGCGGAGAAGAAAGAAGTGTTCTGGGCCCCATCACCTCTCAAGGTGAAGTCTTGGGCTGACGTCGATGAAGAAGATGATGATGATTATTATGCCACCATGGCTCCCCCTGGCTCCGCTTGGGACACTCATAAAGAACCAGAGCCTATTTTGGAGGTCAGGACTTTGTTTTTGTTTTCAATATTTTGTTTTATGATTAGATTATGATTAGTTTTTACTTTTGATCTTCCTTTTGGTATTTATATTATCCTAATGATGAAGATCTGGTATTGTGTTGATGATAATGGATATGATGTAATGTCTGGTCATGTATAAAGTTTTGTTTGTGTTTTGTTTTATAAAGATCATCATGAAGTAAGACTTGCCTGGTGATGAAGGGGATGCTTTGTTCATGAACGGAGACTGTGTTTTTGCCCCATAAGATATAATTTCCTTTATTGTAGTAAATGTTGGTTTTGGATTTTTTTTTTTTTGTTTAAGTTGGACTATGATGAAAGATGATTATGCTTCCTTTTAAGGGAAATTGTCTCTGCTGGAAAAATGTTTTAACTCTATGTGCTTTTGATTAAAATTTCTTGCAGTTGGTTTATCTTTGTTGTCCTAGATGCTAGGAAATGAATCTTGTAACGTGGATGCAAAAATGCTTGTGGATTTATGAGCATCATGATGATGAAACCTGTATGGAGGATCCATATTCGTTCCCATTATGCATTGTTTTCAAAAGCAATCCCTTTCTTCCTTTCCTCTTTTTGCCAAAGAAGGATATTTTCTTGTAAAAGGAATCATTTATATCACTGTGAAAATATGTTTAATGAATAAATGATGTTGATAACATACATGCTCTATCCGTAGGATGTTGGTGAATGGTTCTCTTGCTTTGGTCATTCTTCTGGTCTTGTAATAGCATGAAACTAACTTGGTTCTCAAACCTAACATGTATTTTGATGTCATGCATTTGAGGTTCCACAATACCTGATTTACATGTACTTGATCATCTAGTCATACGAAACTAGACTTGATTCTTAAATTGAACAAGTGTTTAATGTCCTGTGTTTGAGGGTTGGATGCCAATTAATTTGGTTTGCACTTTTATTTTGTCATTTTTGGTCTTTTTGATCATGATTCAGATATATCTAGTAATTTGATTGTCTTTAAGTGAACTTTTTAGATAAGTTTGTTCTTTTACTACTATGGACTGATGTTTGAGATGTTGTCATTTATCTTGTCAGATACATTAGGATGAATTCAGTATATCTAGATGGGGGAAACTCTTTGGGGTATATATTGCCAGTTGACTTGTTGGTATCCTCTGTATCAGCTGAAAGTATTGATTATTGAATGACTCCTAAAAGTGAATCTTTGGAACTTTAGTTGTTGTTGCATTCTGAGCTATAATATTGCAAGGGTGAAATTAATGTTCTGCTATCAAAAGTTTCCATCACCTAGGAAAGGTCCTTTTGAGATTGTAGGTTATTCTGGGGCTATTTATGGCCATTTGATATCAAATGTCAGTTGCAATATTGCTGATAAACTTAGTCAGTATCTTGTGTGATATTTACATATAAATTTTAAACATAATGTGGATAAATATGTGACTAGATACCTGAAATGATTCTGTCATGGGAAAAGATATTTGTATTAGTATAATTCTTAACGGGAAAAATCTTAGATCCTAATTAATTGTATTCCTTGTTGGATAAAGACTAGATTCTCTAAGTTAAGTCAGTATTGATTAAAATGATGCCAGTTGGCAAACTGGCAGAGCACTGATTACAATCACAATGACAATTGTCACTGAGTAACATCAAACTGTAGTTTAGAGGAAACAAAGGACGGATTCTTTTTTTTTTGGGGGGGGGGGGGGGGGGGTGAGGTCCATTCTTTAACTTGATTTATAAATGTCATCTTAAGTATTTTGTAACTATATTTTTACTACTATAACATCATTTGTGGTAAACAAACTAAAAATGTGATACAGATATCATGGACCTGGTTTCTAGTACCTATATGTCTTCTGAAGGCCATCAGTACTTCGTTTTTATCAGGTTGTTATTTAATTTTATTTTCCATTCCAGGGAAGTGAAAGTGAGGAAGAAGGCCTTGATGAAGTTGATGATGACGTTGAAGAAGAACATGAAAATGAAGCTGAGGCCCTAGTAGAAGTGCAGCCAGTTGTTAACAAGCCTCCCAAAGCCTCTATGGTCACTAAAGAGACAGAAAGACAGCTTTCAAAGAAGGAACTGAAGAAGAAGGAGCTTGAGGAACTGGATGCTGTTCTTGCTGAGTTAGGATATACCAAACAGGAGACAGGTGGCCCAAATGACAATTTAGCTTAATGCGCATATGCATATTAGTCTCTCCTCATTCTCAGATAGATGTTTAGTCTCCTGTCTTTGCAATGGGACAATTTTAGTGCTGAAATAAGTAGAAGAAAACAATATCCACTGCGAAAATGGGAAGTGTTTAATTACCTTTCAGGGATTGAAATGCTTTCCTAGCTTAACAATAAAGAATTCAGGAAGTGTTCTCTCTTTTGAATTCATTACTTTTCTTGGTTCATTTGTTTTGTGTCCGGTTAAGCCATCTGGTTGACTAGAACTCTGTTTACTCTTAATGTTTGTTATGTCTACTGTCCTAAAGTGGCTTGCTTTCCATGTTTCCCCACTATGTCGCCTACTAACTGTAGTACAAGACTGAGATAGCAATTTTTTGCTAGTATTTTCTTCAGCATTTATCTGAGAATGTAATGGGGTGGAATTGTAGTCTTATAAAGGTTGAAGTTGGACATATATACCTTGTCTTACAACTTCGAGCTGAGATTTTACTTCAAGTGGTGCTTGTTTTTCACTATTGCATTGCTTATTTGAGTTAAGTATTCCACTGTCTATTGCTTTCTTGATTGGATTTTAGTAGTCTTACATGAAATGGTCTTTTTCCTGATTGCAGGAATTGCACAGAGAAAAAATGCAGAGAGCAATGGAGAAATGGAAAAGATAGAGAATGCTCCTGCTGAAAGCAAAAGTGCTAAAAAGAAGAAAAAGAAGGATAAATCATCAAAGGAGGTGAAAGAATCATCTCAGGCCCAGCCTAAAGGTATTGATGCTGGAAATGATGCCGAAGAAACTGGTGAAACTAAGAAGCCAGAAGAGACATCTGCTGTTGATGTGAAAGAGCGGCTGAAAAAAGTAGTTTCTAGAAAGAAGAAAAAATCAAGTAAAGAGATGGACGCTGCTGCACAAGGTGCTGCCAGTGAGGCTGCTGCAAGGAGTGCAAAGCTTACTGCTGCAAAGAAAAAGGAGAAGAATCACTACAATCAGCAGCCAGTGCGGTAAAGTGGCAAGGGTTGGACTTTTTCTTTTCATTTTAACTTCTCACATATGAACATGTATTGCTTTCTTGTTCGATTTGTTAATGGGAAATAAACATCAGTAAATTGTTTTTTGTGAATGCGACTCTAACAGGGCACTTTTGTTCTCAGAGAAAAAAATCAATTTATTTAGTCTTTGGCGTTTCTTCTTTCTCCTGGATGGTAGCTGAAACTTCTTTTATGCTAGGTGACAACTAATATGATATATGAGCACACCTTGTATTGGCTAGTTCTCTTTAACAATTTACAAGAAACTTGGATTATATTGGGTACATAGGAAGCAGCCGCAGTATTTATGACACAAGACTTGCCTTCGAAATGCAATTTGGACCACACCATGCTATGCAGTCTGCATATTAATCAGAGTTTATTGTAAATTGCTAAAGAGAACTAGCCAATACAAGGTGTGCCCAATATATATATATATATATATATTGCATCCGTTTGGTGTGTTATACCCCACACCTATCAAGATTGGGATGCATTCTAGAACAGCATTCACTAGTACTCTTCTCTTGATCATTCACATTTGTCCAGGATTCTCAATTCATGAGCAAGTCTTAGTAGATATAGATAGTGATGATAGGTGTATAGAGTGATATTGGTAAGAAAAGATAATAGCAATGGTAGTATTGAGGAGAGTGTCAAGATTGGAGAGGAAAGAAGTAAGGGGTTGTTTTAGGGTGATTTGTTTATTTAGTTTTTTTAAAATTCTTAATTTACCTTTAAACTTCCCTACTCTTATACTGGATTGAAGGATATTATGCGCATAAGTTTCTTTAAACCTATAACCTTCGAGTGTTAGTTTCAATGTCATGTCCGTAGATCCAAATTTCAACAGGGTGATTTGTTTATTAATTTTAAAGGCATAATGGGGGGTATTGAAACGTTGCTCATGTAATTAATCCATATCCTCCAAATTTATGGAGGGTTTCCTCCAGCCAACTGCCTTTCTCTACTGGAATGTCTCCTTTCCAAGTTACATGTTTTTCATCTGTATGTAGTTTTTTACAAAATTGCCGGGGTTGGTGTTAACGACTTTATCATGAATCTAATCTTTCTTATCTTAAATTCATAGTTGAATATAAATTATCCTACAAAAGAGTGTTTATAAATATGCAAAAACACAATTGGCAACAAATAAAGATAGGCCAGTATGGCACAAGCATAGATCCCTCTCTGTAGAACATGAAAGATATCACCATCAACTGTCTCATACCGACACTCCTTGAAAATCATCTAATATAATGCAAGCATCTTTTCAGTTTATAAAAATCAATCTTCCATAGGTGCCATTTCTTGGCATGACCTCTCCCATGGCTTCTTGGGTTCAAGAGCTTAGTTTCTCTCATCTGCACATCCCTATAACAATTGATCGAATGATTCCAGTCATGCCAGCCGGTCCTGTTCCTTGTGTCCCTGGCAGCTGCCTTTACTTGTCAAACCTTGATGATATGATTGGAGCACGTGTTTTTACACCAACCATGTATTTTTATAGATCAAAAGACTTGGGTTCCGATGGAGAACCAGTTGTGAAAATACTATGTGATGCACTAGCCAGAGTTTTGGTTCCTTACTATCCTCTATCTGGTAGGCTCAGAGAGGTAGAAAACGGGAAACTAGAAGTGTTTTTTGGACGAGAACGAGGTGCACTTGTGGTAGAGGCACACTCTGATATGGCTTTAACCGAATTAGGAGATCTTGCAGTGCCAAACCCAGCCTGGGAGCCATTAATCTATAGGTTCCCCAATGAAGAACCATATAAAGTTCTTGACATGCCGTTAGTTATAGCTCAGGTAACTCATTTTGGCTGCGGTGGCTTTAGCCTTGGCCTGAGACTTTGCCATTGCATCTGTGATGGCCTTGGTGCTATGCAGTTTCTTGGTGCATGGGCTGCCACTGCGAAAACAGGTACATTGGTGACAAATCCTGAACCTTGTTGGGACCGGGAATTTTTCCACCCTCGAAATCCACCAATAATAAAATATCCGCATCCCGAATTTATGAGAATTGAAGAAGGTTCAAGCTTAACAATAAGTCTATGGAAATCCAAGCCTGTTCAAAAGTGTTACAGGGTTAGCCGTCAGTTCCAAGCTCAACTAAAATCTCTAGCTCAACCTGATGACATGCTTGGGTGCTCTACATTTGATGCTATGGCAGCTCATGTTTGGCGGTCATGGGTGAAAGCACTTGACGTAAAACCACTAGACTATCGACTTAGGCTTACATTTTCAGTCAATGTTCGTCCCAAACTGAAAAACCCACCATTGAAAGAAGGATTTTATGGCAATGTAGTTTGCGTGGCATGTGGAATGAGTCCTGTGTATGAACTTATTAAGGGGCGTCTCTCGGACACTGCCCGATTGGTTCGTGAAGCCAGACTCAGCATATCAGAGGAGTACGTGAGATCCACAATTGATTTCGTTGAAGTAGACAGGCCAAGAAGGCTTGAATTTGGAGGGAAATTGACCGTAACACAGTGGACTAGATTTTCCTTGTATGAATCTGCTGATTTTGGATGGGGAAGGCCAGCTTATGCTGGTCCGATAGACCTGACTCCAACACCACAGGTTTGTGTATTCTTGCCAGAAGAAGGCGCCGAATCTAGTGGAGCAATGGTGGTGTGTATCTGCTTGCCTGAGTCAGCCACCGATAAATTTACGGAGTTTTTTTGTTTAAAGGATTTCATATGATGAAAACTTGAAGTGTGAAAAGTACTCCTGATATGCTATGGATTAATACACAATGAAGAAATAGTTCCCATTAGCAACTCACCGTGAAATTAACTTCTTGACATGAGTCAGATTGAGTTAAAAGAACGGCAAATACTCAGCTTTGGAGATGTTTGTCAAGTAAACAAAGAATTACTGATTAATTAAGCAAAACTAATATTTGGCTTACAGCTTAAAATGAGAATTTAAAATATGATAGATTATATAATAGGAAAAAGATATACAAATTATATAAAAATAAAATAATTTAAAATTTTAATAAAAATTATATATAAATTTAAAAAATTAAAAAAAATATATTTTATATTTTTATATTAATATAAAATTATTATACCTAATTTTTATATAAAATAAAATGTAAGTATAAGTTATTAATATTTTACACCAAAAAATTAAAGATATCGGTATGACCAATTGAAAGTTTGTTGCTGCCCCTTCTATCTTCAGAGTCGGCAGAAGCCAAAAGGGCAAATGCTGACGCGGTTTTTACTTTATTGGTACTGTTATTACGAAATAATAACAATAATAATAATAATAAAGCAGTGAGTCACCGACGAGTATCGTTATCACCAACAGCGATAAATTGTTTTAACAGCACCCCCTCTTTTCTCCAAGCTGTCGAATCTCTCTCTTCTCTCTGTTTCAATCCATTCTCTTTTTTCTTTTCCTCTCTTTTGATTTTCCTTTCTATTAATCCTTAATTGATTTGTCATTAACATTTTTAATCAAGAACAATTTTCAAGGTCAAATCGGACACGCTGAGAGTCCGATCTCGTTTTTCCCATGCGAATTTAGGGTTATTCTTTTAGGTTTTTGCAAATTGATCGGAAAAGAGAAAAAAGAAACTGGCCAAAGTGGCAGATTTCGTAGATAGGTTAGAAGCTGGGGGCTAATCAGTCACAGTCCCACCGTACCCCCCCGGCGCCACGTGTGGGGCTCTGGTACTTCCTCCGTCCTAACAATGCTCCTCCTCTCCACACTCTCCACTACCTCGACTCCGTAACAACCCGTCCCTTACCTCCGGTCCGATCCGATCCCCGACCCACTTCCTCCATGGACCAACACCATCCGTCAACCACCACACCTCCTCCCCTGGAAGAGCCCGAGTACCTTGCCCGTTATATCGTCATCAAGCACTCATGGCGCGGCCGTTACAAACGAATCCTTTGTATTTCTAATGTCGCTATCATCACGCTCGATCCCACGACTTTGTCAGTAACGAATTCCTACGATGTCTCGACCGATTTTGAAGCCGCCACGCCGATTGTTGGCAGGGATGAGAATTCTACTGAGTTTAATATGAACGTGAGGACCGATGGAAAAGGGAAATTTAAGGCGATAAGATTTTCGTCACGATATCGGGCGAGTATTTTAACAGAATTGCATAGGATTAGGTGGAATCGGTTGGGACCAGTGGCGGAGTTCCCGGTGTTGCATCTACGGAGACGCCATGCCGAGTGGGCCCCCTTTGTAAGTTTTTGCTGGATTTAGTTTTGCCCTTGCATTTGTTGATTGACTTTGTAAATTGCTAAATTTTGAATACTAATGAAATTAGTTACTAATCTGACTGAAGTGGGCCCTTGTTCAAATGTAATTGCAGTTCTATTAACTTTTATTTCGGCAGAATGATGCAAAGATAAAAAGAAGCTGATTAAACTTTAAATAATTAGAATTTGTTAGGATTTTATTTAAATTAATTCATTGTGCCGCATAAGTTTTTATTATAATTTGTGGTATTTAGTGCACTTTTTGGGTTATATTTAGTTTCTAGTGGTTGTATAAGGGTTTAAGGTTTAGCCTAGAAGTGCTTATGCTATTTTAGTTTCTTGTTCGTTTAGGGTATTAGGAATTTTTGAGACTTGAGTTATTGACATTTTGAGTGTTGAGATTTTGATAATTGGAGATATTAAGATTCAAGATTTGAATTCTGAGACTTGAGATTAGAGATTTTGGTAATTGAGATCAGATTGTTTTCGAGAATTTGTTTGAAATTAACTGGTTCTAGATCAATTGTATTTCTAAATAGTAGACTGCTTAGGTAGTTATATAACTGTCTATTGTCTCTATTTACTACTGGTTACTTTGAATTTATTTATTGAATTTTCCTGTTCAAGCTTTTAACAACCGATTACCTGTTCAGAAATTGAAGGTCACATATGTTGGGGTTGAACTTATTGACTTAAAATCTGGAGATCCTCGCTGGTGCTTAGATTTTAGAGACATGTCCTCCCCAGCCATTGTTCTACTTGCAGATGCATATGGGAAGAAAAACGTTGATCATGGTGGTTTTGTTCTTTGCCCTTTATATGGAAGGAAATCTAAAGCATTTCAAGCTGCTTCAGGGACCACAAATTCTGCTATCATTTCGAATCTGGTATTGATATTGTCTTTAATTTACATTCATCAATTTTTTCACCTCGGTGAAACTGGAAAGACAGAAGGGATTTGAATCTTGAATTAGTACTAATGTAGGTGATAGAACTCATGAAAACATGACTTTCTATATTATTTTCAAAGTCATGAATTTGCTAGATCTCTTTTAAATATTGGATTTCAAATGGCTTAATAATTTAGGAAATTTGAAATTCATCTACTTATACCCTTGCAAATACATAGGTGTATTGAGTTTTAACTAGTTTTTAAATAATGCTTATCTCTGTCCCTCACTATTTATGTAAGAAACCAAATCCAAATCTATTTTCTAAAATTCATGTCTTCAACCATAGCACTTTGTGTTTCCATTTATCTTTAAATTCTTCCAATCCAATGAAGTTGCTTCATCTTGGATAGTATGCCCTTCTATTCCTCTAGGTCATATTATTCTTGTACTTTATATTTTACATCAATAATTAATTATTAAATATATTTTTGCAGACTAAAACTGCGAAATCAATGGTTGGAGTGTCACTTTCTGTAGACAATTCACAATCTCTCACTGCAACAGAGTATATAAAGCAAAGAGGTAACTTACTAAAAAGAACTTCCTTCTGTTTTCAGTCATTAACTTCCTCTTCATCCTCTTTTTTACCTCTTCTCTTTATTGGATGTAAATCTTTTGGTGTTTCTTTCATTAATATGCAAAAAAAAAAAAAATGTAAAATGCAGCCAAAGAGGCAGTTGGAGCAGAAGAAACCCCTTGTGGAGGTTGGTCTGTGACAAGATTGCGTTCTGCTGCTCATGGAACTTTAAATGTTCCTGGATTGACTTTCAGTGTTGGCCCGAAAGGAGGACTTGGAGAGCATGGGGATGCTGTCTGTCGTCAACTCATCCTCACAAAAGCCTCCCTTGTTGAAAGGCGGCCAGATAACTATGAAGTAAGCTAACGACCTTCATCTGATGATAAAAACATAGAATTGGTATATTTCACTGGTTGAGTAGATGCTGTGTACCGGTTGCATGACTTGCCTTAGGAGTCCATTGGGTTACACTTAATTGACTTAAACCATTGTTTTAATTGGTGTTATAATAAGGAATTTCCCTTGAAGTGGGGCTGGCTGAATGCTAGATATGACCATCTTTGCTAAATTGTTAAAGCCAAAGGCAGACTATGGTGACTGCCCCTTAATCATTTTAACTATCATTGAAGTTCATTGGGAAAAATGTTGCTGGTTAGTTTCTGCTTTTATAAATTCAAAATTGTGAAATGCACTGGTCTATTTATGGTTCGAAAAGGCATTAGAGGATACATCTTTGAATGAGGTAGAGTGCAGTGACAGTTTACTAACATTTCATAACCAATAAAAGAAGTGTTAGTTCAACGCATAGAGGCAAGTTTTAGATGTTGCACAATCCAGATGGCTAATGTTACATGCTTAATCTTTTTAAAGGAATTTTCTGAAGTAGAATTTATCAAATGCTGAGAATCTTCCTTAGATGCGTGCAGGCTGTTATTGTTCGTCCTTTATCAGCAGTGATCTCACTTGTTCGATTTGCAGAGGAGCCCCAGATGTTTGCAATTGAATTCAATGATGGATGCCCTATCCATGTGAGAATAAATTCTTTATTTTGAAATTTTAATATGTGTGCAGTATGCAACTAACGTGTATTGCATGGCTTACAGGTCTATGCTAGCACCTCACGAGATAGCTTACTCGCTGCAATTTGTGATGTGTTGCAAATAGAAGTAGGTATATGTGTTCTTTCTAGTATGCAAACAGGGTTTCATTTTTTTACATCATCATACTTGCTATTTTGTCTATACCTATAAGTTCTATTAGTGCTGGATAAATTAAATAGTTAATGTGGTTTGGTTGATCGTCTGCTTGTCCAGGGTCAGTCCCCAGTACCTGTTTTGCCAAGGCTGACAATGCCTGGTCATCGCATTGATCCTCCTTGTGGGAGAGTTACTTTGCAATTTGGGCAGCAACGCCCTCTTGCTGATGTAGAAAGTGGATCTATGCATTTGAAGCACTTAGCTGCTTCTGCCAAAGATGCTGTTGCTGAAGGTGGTTCTATTCCTGGTTCAAGAGCTAAGCTATGGCGTAGAATAAGGGAGTTTAATGCATGCATTCCATATAGTGGAGTGCCCCCTAATATTGAAGTACCTGAGGTGACTCTGATGGCCTTGATAACAATGCTTCCAGCAACACCGAATCTTCCTCCAGAGTCCCCTCCCTTGCCACCTCCTTCACCTAAAGCAGCTGCAACAGTGATGGGCTTTATCGCATGTTTACGAAGATTGTTAGCTTCTAAAAGTGCTGCTTCTCATGTTATGTCTTTTCCTGCTGCTGTTGGAAGAATAATGGGCTTACTTAGAAATGGATCTGAGGGTGTAGCTGCTGAAGCGGCAGGGCTTGTTGCAGCTCTCATTGGAGGTGGTCCTGGGGATACAAATCTGCTAACAGATTCTAAAGGAGAGCAACATGCCACAATTATGCATACTAAGTCTGTATTGTTCTCTCAGCATGGTTATGTCATTATCCTTGTCAACAGATTGAAACCCATGTCTGTATCGCCTTTATTGTCCATGGCTGTTGTTGAAGTTCTGGAGGCTATGATATGTGATCCACATGGCGAAACTACCCAATACACAGTTTTTGTTGAGCTGTTGCGCCAAGTAGCTGGTTTGAAGCGTCGTTTATTTGCTTTGTTTGGCCATCCTGCAGAGAGTGTTAGAGAAACAGTTGCTGTGATAATGCGTACTATTGCAGAAGAAGATGCAATTGCTGCTGAGTCAATGCGGGATGCTGCTTTACGTGATGGTGCTCTATTGAGGCATTTATTACATGCATTTTTCCTTCCTGCTGGTGAGCGGCGCGAGGTTAGTCGGCAGCTTGTTGCTTTGTGGGCAGATTCGTACCAACCAGCTCTAGACCTATTGTCTAGAGTTTTGCCTCCAGGACTCGTTGCTTATTTGCACACACGTTCTGATGGAGTGCTTGAAGATTCTATTCAAGGAGGATCATTGACCAGTAAAAGACAGAGGCGTTTACTTCAGCAGAGGAGAGGTCGTACAGGGCAGGGGATTACATCACAAGAGCAACCCTTCCCTTCTGTTAATAGTTTTGAGGCAGGTGATGCAGCAAGGCAGATGAATACTGGTTTTCATAGAGTGGCAGATAACTATCACAAATCTACTGTAGACCCTAATTCCAGTCAAGTTTCAAACCAATCTTCTGCTACTCACACTGTGGAAAGTCTGGCCAGTGATGTATATTCTACTGGAATTTCACAAAATGGCCATTCTGCTATGGCAGCTTCCACTGATGCCCCATCAGCAAATGTGCATGGAGCATCAGAAACAAAGGCTTCAAATTCAGTTGATTCTGATGGCAATGTAGTTGGGTCACATAACACTGGTCTTCCGGCACCTGCTCAGGTTGTTGTAGAGAACACACCTGTTGGTTCTGGTCGCCTACTTTGTAATTGGTCCGAGTTCTGGCGTGCTTTTAGCCTTGACCATAACCGTGCGGATTTGATCTGGAATGAACGTACTAGGCAAGAGTTGAGGGAAGCTTTGCAAGCTGAGGTTCATAAGTTGGATGTTGAAAAAGAGCGCACTGAAGATATTGTTCCTGGAGGTGCTACAGTAGAGAATATGAGCAGCCAAGATAGTGTTCCAAGGATCTCTTGGAACTATACTGAGTTCTCTGTTAGTTATCCTAGTTTGTCCAAGGAGGTTTGTGTTGGTCAATATTATCTCCGCTTGTTGCTTGAGAGTGGTAGCAGTGGCAGGGCACAGGATTTTCCGCTTCGTGATCCTGTTGCTTTCTTCAGAGCACTCTATCACCGGTTTTTATGTGATGCTGACATAGGTCTTACAGTAGATGGTGCTGTTCCGGATGAACTGGGTTCATCTGATGATTGGTGTGATATGGGAAGATTAGATGGCTTTGGAGGAGGTGGAGGCTCTTCTGTTAGGGAGCTTTGTGCAAGGGCAATGGCAATTGTGTATGAACAACATTGCAATACAATAGGCCCTTTCGAAGGGACTGCACATATTACAGTTCTCTTGGACAGGACAGGTGATAGAGCTTTGAGACACCGTCTACTTCTTCTTTTGAAGGTACCTTTACCAACATATTTTAGGTGCATTACATATTTCAAACTGTAAGAGTTTGTGTGTAAGATTTGCAATGGAGTAGGCTTGATCTCTGTATTTACATATGTGCAGGTTTTGATGAAGATTTTAGCAAATGTGGAATCTTGTGTATTGGTGGGAGGGTGCGTACTAGCCGTTGATTTACTGACAGTGGTTCATGAAGCTTCAGAGAGGACCGCTATCCCTTTACAATCAAATTTGATAGCTGCTACTGCTTTTATGGAGCCACTTAAGGAATGGATGTATACTGACAAAGATGGTGCACAGGTTGGACCTTTAGAGAAGGATGTTATCAGAAGGTTGTGGTCAAAGAAAGCTATTGATTGGACAACAAGGTGCTGGGCTTCAGGGATGCTGGACTGGAAGAGATTACGAGATATTCGTGAGCTTCGTTGGGCACTATCTGTTCGGGTTCCTGTCCTTACACCAACTCAGGTATTGTCAGTCTCATGTTGATCTGCAATATATTGCTTGCACAAGTGCTTTTGCTTCAGGAAAGTGTGTTGCAGTGTTTACTTAAACAGTGATAACTTTGGTCTATTAAATAGTTAAACTTTTTCTTATTAGTCAATTTTTGAATTTCATGTGATTGTGATCATCTATTGAGCTTTTTAGTCCCTCTTTTTTTTTGGATATACTGTGTGCAATTTGGTATTTGGAATCATGTTTGGATTTCTTCCTCTCTATTATATGGAACTTAGCATCTGAAATTTTGTACTAGACTCACTTAAGGCACTGTTAAATGGGCATTACTGATCTTTTGCTTGCATTTTAGTTTCTTAAATGATGTTTCTTTGAGCCCAATTTAATGTTTGGGAACATTGAAGAGGCATGATCAAACATATTTGTGATACGGATAATGTAATTAAACACACAGTGGCTGATGACAGGTGTTGCTTTGGCTATTACTTATAATAACAGACATCTCTTTATCCTTTCTTACCCTTTACCTTTTTCTTGATATCTTCTAATTGACAATCCTGTCTGCAGGTAGGAGAGGCTGCATTGTCTGTGTTACATAGCATGGTTTCTGCACATTCAGACTTAGATGATGCCGGTGAGATAGTTACCCCAACTCCTAGGGTGAAATGGATTTTGTCAAGTCCACGTTGCCTTCCACATATTGCACAGGTGCCTTTTTAATTGATAATTTTGTTATGCCATGCAGATATTGCAAATAGGCAGTTGCATAATGACATTTTAAGTATTTCTGGAAAGATTTATAAGATATGCTTCTGTTGATAAATAGTATAATCTATCTCTGAAGTGTTTTACTCATGCAGTTGCATCTATTTCTTTTTCCTTAAAAGGCTATGCTTTCTGGGGAGCCAAGTATTGTAGAGGCTGCTGCTGCATTGCTGAAGGCTATTGTTACCAGAAATCCAAAGGCCATGATGCGTCTCTACAGCACAGGTGCATTTTATTTTGCCCTGGCATACCCTGGATCCAACCTTTTTTCAATTGCACAACTCTTCTCGGTAACTCATGTACATCAAGCTTTTCATGGTGGCGAAGAAGCTGCAGTTTCCTCTTCATTACCCCTTGCTAAACGTAGCGTATTGGGTGGGCTTCTCCCTGAATCTTTGCTGTATGTGTTAGAGCGTAGTGGCCCTATTGCATTTGCTGCAGCAATGGTTTCTGACTCTGATACTCCAGAGATCATATGGACTCATAAAATGAGAGCAGAAAATCTGATTCGTCAGGTGAATCTTATTTTTAATTTGCTATAGTTTATTATGTTAAGATGTTACGCTGCACTTTCACATGCAGAAATGATATTGGCTGGGGCAGAACTAGGATTTTTTAGGGGGCATTTGAAATTTAAGTATAGTCTTATAAATAGTGATGTAATATAAAGTAGCTTGATGCCGTATTTGATGAATTCTCTCATCAATGGTTTATTATATTAAAGAAATTACATTCCCAAGTTTATAGTTTATTGACAAATTTTCAATTGGGTTTATGAAGTAGCTAAACTAATTCGTATAATATAAACTTAGAAAATGATGCATGTAAATAACCAGATGAGATGACATGATGATGATTTTTTTTTCTCTTTTTCCTAAATTCTTTCTTTAGCTTGTTTTATGTGTGTGTGAGAGATAGGCAGATATCCCATTTTTCTCCTTTGCTATTTTTACAAGGAGTTGCTGCCCCTTCTCTCCTTTGCAACTTATTGTTTTCTGAATGCACAACCCTAATAGTGTTCTGAAAAAACAAATAGATGATTGGAAACTACTTAGCGAATATAGCTAGAAGATAATGTCTTTTTACGCCAATTATAAAGCATAAAAATAATTCTACTTACTGATACTACTTGGTAAACCTGCATTTGATACATTTTTTTTCCCTTTCCAAAGGTTTTGCAGCATCTTGGTGATTTCCCCCAGAAACTGTCACAGCACTGCCATTCTTTATATGAGTATGCTCCTATGCCACCAGTCACTTATTCAGAGCTCAGAGATGAAATGTGGTGTCACCGTTATTATCTTCAAAATCTTTGTGATGAGATCCGTTTTCCAAATTGGCCAATTGTTGAGCATGTAGAGTTTCTACAGTCCTTGTTAGTAATGTGGCGAGAAGAGTTGACACGGAAACCAATGGATCTTTCTGAGGAAGAAGCTTGCAAAATCTTAGAGATTACCTTGGATGATGTATCCAGTAAGGATGCTGATCAGAAGTATTCTCATGAGGTGACTGGAGAGATATCTAGCATATCCAAGCAAATTGAGAACATTGATGAAGAAAAGCTTAAGCGACAATATAGGAAACTTGCTATGAAATACCATCCTGACAAAAATCCTGAAGGGAGGGAGAAATTTCTTGCTGTACAAAAGGCTTATGAACGACTTCAGGTAGATGTTTGCTCCTGGGCTTAGCGCATACTAACTTGCTTGAGATAAAATTAATGAAAGTATAGGTTTTGAATAAATTATCCTCAATTAATCATACTCTTTTAATTTCCAAAATAATTTACCTTATATTTCTCTTTAAATAGGCTACAATGCAAGGTTTGCAAGGTCCTCAGCCTTGGAGGCTGTTGCTTTTATTGAAAGGACAATGCATCTTGTACAGACGATATGGAGATGTATTGGAACCATTTAAATATGCTGGATATCCCATGTTGCTTAATGCTGTGACTGTTGACAAGGAAGACAACAATTTTCTTTCCTCAGAGAGAGCACCTCTTCTTGTTGCAGCGTCAGAGCTTGTTTGGCTTACGTAAGTCCCCCTCTTACCAATATATACTTTTCTAACGTTAGCTTTACTCATTAAATTTGTCTTGGAGATTTCACCTATTTGTACTTTTTTTCTTTAATGTTAGGTGTGCATCTTCCTCATTGAATGGTGAAGAACTTGTTAGAGATGGTGGGATACTTCTTCTCGCAACACTTCTCTCTCGTTGCATGTGTGTAGTTCAACCAACTACTCCTGCAAATGAACCAGCCGCTATCATCGTTACCAATGTGATGCGAACATTTTCTGTTCTGAGTCAGTTTGAGACTGCCAGGGTTGAGATGCTTGAGCTTTCTGGACTTGTTGAGGACATAGTGCACTGCACTGAACTTGAGCTTGTGCCTGCAGCTGTTGATGCTGCCCTCCAGACTATTGCTCATATTTCTGTGTCCTCTGATTTGCAAGATGCCTTGATAAAGGCTGGAGTGCTATGGTAAATTGGCACATCTTTCAATATTGATCCATGTTTGTACCATGAGTTGAATGCATGTTTGCATCACTGTTAGTCAATTTATATGTGGCCATATTTTAGTCTAGGCATTATTTGATCTCTTCTTAGTTTCTTACACAGTTACCATATTCACAGTATTTTATCTGATCTGCTGTCAAACCACATTAGGCTTTCCATTATACATGGCCACCTTTTGGGACTATTGTCTTCCTTTTGCTTGAAGTCCAGTACTCTCAAAACTTAGGGAACATCCTCTTCAATATAAAATATTATAGGCCATATGTTTTTCATGGATGAGCATTTCATATATGGGTTGTTTATTTAAGTCTTCTTGGTGTCATTAATTTCTCTATGCTTTTCTTTTGCTTTCGTTTTTCTGCTTCATGTAAAAACTGATCCTCATATTTTTGCATTTTCTACTGGATATGCATGAAAACAACATTGTGGAAACACAAGAGACTTAGTTTCAGATAATTGCTTGTACCATTATCAGTTTTGCTTTCTTGCTGCTGAGCTTCTATTCTTTATGTTTCTGCTTGTTTTTTACCTAATTTTATATTTGATATCTTGATAATTTGTTTGGAAGTCATATGTATTAAGTAGTTTTATTTACCATTGTTGCTTTAATTACTTGGTTAACTAGTTTTATTTTGTTAATATGGTTTCTTTAGGTACCTTTTGCCATTGTTGCTTCAGTACGACTCAACTGCAGAGGAATCTGATACTTCAGAGTCACATGGTGTTGGTGCTAGTGTTCAAATTGCAAAAAATATGCATGCTGTGCGAGCATCCCAAGCTCTGTCTAGGCTTAGTGGTTTGTGCAGTGATGAGAGCACAATACCTTATAATGCTTCCGTTGTCAATGCGCTCAGAGCTTTGCTAACTCCTAAACTTGCCAGTATGTTGAGAGATCAAGTGCCAAAAGACCTACTGTCCAAGTTGAACACAACCTTGGAGTCACCAGAGGTAAACGATGTGCTTTTATGTTGTCTCATTTTAGTTACCTTGCTATTGTTTCGAGTCTTATTTATTCTTCTCATAGATCATCTGGAACTCTTCAACTCGAGCGGAACTGCTGAAATTTGTGGATCAACAACGTGCTAGCCAGGGTCCAGACGGTTCATATGACCTGAAAGATTCTCATATCTTTGCCTATGAAGCACTGTCAAAGGAACTTTTTGTTGGCAATGTTTATTTGAGGGTTTATAATGATCAACCGGATTTTGAGATCAGTGAACCAGAAGCATTCTGTGTGGCTTTAATTGATTTTATAGCTTCTCTAGTACACAATCATTGCTCTGTGGATTCTGATGTTCAGGAAAGACTTAATATCACCAACTCATCCCTTAAGTCTGATGAGCATCAGGGTGACACAACCGGTATATCAGTAGATGAACAGCAAGTTCCTGATGATTCTCTGGCTGTATCTGATAAAAAAATGAAAGATAAGGAAGAAAATGTGATGATTAAGAACCTTCAATTTGGACTTACCTCACTTCAGGTAATTTATTTGCTTGTGTGTACTAGGTCATAAAGCATTTAATATGTCTGACACTTTTTCCCTTTTTCCAGAACTTGCTGACAACATATCCAAATTTGGCATCGATATTTTCCACTAAAGAGAAGCTATTACCACTTTTTGAATGCTTTTCTGTGCCTGTTGCTTCAGAAAGCAGCATTCCTCAACTTTGCCTGAATGTTCTATCTCTCTTGACTACATATGCTCCCTGCTTGGAGGCCATGGTTGCAGATGGATCTAGCCTTCTTCTTTTGTTGCAAATGCTCCACTCTGCCCCAGCTTGCCGAGAAGGGGCAATTCATGTTCTCTATGCTTTGGCAAGCACACCTGAACTTGCTTGGGCAGCTGCCAAGCATGGAGGTGTTGTGTACATTCTTGAACTTCTCTTGCCTTTACAAGGTAATAATGTCTTTCTGGTTTTTCAATTCTTTTCTGTTTAGAAGATGATTTTATTGATGTTAGAAATCGCTATGTGCAGAAGAAATTCCCTTGCAGCAAAGAGCAGCAGCAGCCTCTTTATTGGGTAAGCTTGTTGCGCAGCCAATGCATGGACCTAGAGTTGCTATAACATTAGCAAGGTTTCTTCCAGATGGCCTAGTATCAGTCATAAGAGATGGGCCTGGTGAAGCTGTTGTGTCTGCCCTTGAACAGAATACAGAAACACCAGAACTTGTATGGACACCAGCCATGGCAGCTTCTTTGTCTGCCCAAATTGCTACTATGGTATCAGATCTGTACCGTGAACAAATGAAGGGCCGTGTCATTGACTGGGATGTACCTGAGCAAGCTCCTTCACAGCAGGAAATGAAAGATGAGCCACAGGTATTACTTGATATATTCTTTATCTAAATTTTCTATTTGCTATTTGCTGGGGAACTAATAAGTTCATAGTCAATGCAGGTTGGTGGGATCTATGTCAGGCTATTCCTTAAAGATCCCAAATTTCCTCTTAGAAATCCCAAGAGATTCCTGGAAGGGCTTCTGGATCAGTACTTGTCTTCTATTGCTGCCACACATTATGAGTCACAATCTGTTGACCCTGAGCTTCCTTTGCTTCTGTCTGCTGCTTTGGTTTCATTATTGCGAGTGCACCCTGCACTTGCAGACCATGTTGGTTATCTTGGGTATGTGCCCAAACTTGTTGCTGCTGTGGCTTATGAGGGAAGGCGAGAAACAATGTCATCGGGGGAGATGAAAGATAGAAACAATATGGCAGACAGAACATATGAATCTGATGAGCAACCAGTGCAAACTCCACAAGAACGTGTGCGCCTTAGTTGTTTGCGGGTTCTGCATCAACTTGCTGCCAGTACAATATGTGCTGAAGCCATGGCAGCAACTAGTGTTGGAACACCTCAGGTATGTGTTCTAAAAGCTGACTTATGTGTTATGTTCTTTCTGTTTTTGTTGCCACTCAATTCCTTTCAGTTTCATGCATTCTTCATTTTTGTCGGTTACCATCGTACCATGGTGTTTCCTTGTTCTTTAATCTTCTTTGAAAATTTTTTATGGGTAAGGAGGTTTGTTGTTTAGCTTCCATTTATACTTTTGGTCCATTTAATGCTCTGCCCTTGTATTTTGTGTCCTCTTATTTACCCAAGAAAATGTTATTGTAGGTTGTTCCACTTCTAATGAAAGCTATAGGATGGCAAGGTGGAAGCATTTTAGCTCTAGAAACACTGAAACGTGTTGTGGGTGCTGGAAACCGAGCTAGGGATGCACTTGTTGCCCAAGGACTTAAGTAAGTAATGTGAATAAAAGCTAAAAGTATATACAGAAAGATGCATAATCTTCTCTTAGTAGAAGAAATATTTTCTAAGAATTCCGACATTTTACTAAAGAAACTTTCTTGAGAAGTTCTATATTTGGTTCATATATTAATGTTAAGTTCCCGATGCTAATAGATTTGCTCAGGTGTAAGACATTCATATTGTTTTTTCATTCAAACTCTGTTCTGTAGTTTCTGATGTAGCAACAAAATCTTAAAAAATGCAGGGTTGGTCTGGTTGAAGTACTTCTGGGACTTCTTGATTGGAGAGCTGGTGGAAGGGGCGGACTCTGCTCTCAGATGAAATGGAATGAGTCAGAAGCATCTATTGGCAGGGTTCTTGCAATTGAGGTTAGATTGCAGTCATTCTAAGCTAACTTTCACCTATCACTGACTCTAGTATACTGTCATTGCTATTGTTATTTATCCAGTTATATGTTTCTTTTGTTATTTTTTATTTAAAGTGAATAATTCTTGGTAAAATTTCCATGAGTTATTAAATTATAACTGCATAATAATTTCTTTTTTCTTTTGAAGCCAAATCCTTGAGTTATCTGAAACTATGTCTTCAATTTGTTGATCCAGGTTTTGCATGCATTTGCAACAGAAGGGGCTCATTGTATTAAAGTGCGTGACATATTGAATTCATCTGATGTAAGTCCTCAAACATGCTTTCTACAGATACAAGTTTTATGAACCTATAAAAATGACATTTTATTGACGGTTTCAATGTGTATTGTTTCTTCAACCTGAATTTTCATTTATTCCTTTTCTGCGATAATGCATTCATACTATGCATCTCCTCTCTAAGCCGTTATTGTGCGATTTTTAAGGTTTGGAGTGCTTATAAAGATCAGAAACACGATCTTTTCCTTCCTTCAAATGCCCAATCCGCTGCTGCTGGAGTTGCTGGTCTAATCGAGAATTCCTCATCTAGACTCACTTACGCCCTCACAGCTCCGCCACAAACTGCACAGGCAAGAATACCTGCTTCAAATGGTAGTCATTATCAGCTTTCATAGTTCAAGGATTAAAGAAGTATTCACGCCATGAGCGAGTACTGAGTTAAGATTTTATACATGACACATTTGTACAGCTCAGTGTACAGTTTTCTTAATCTTTTCCATCCCCCTCCTTTTACCCATTCTCTCTGCAAGATTTGACGGCCAAGGTGGTGGTGGCAATTTTCCTAGTTAATATATATATATATATATTTAAGAGGGTGAAGTATTATTCATTTTCCCGTGTAAAGAAAAATCCAGTTGATTGTAAATTGAAAATGGATCTGTTCTGCAGTAATATAAATAGTTGAGGTGACTTTCTCTGTGTTCATTACAGCAATTTTTAGTAGCAGGGTTATTAATGCTGGTTCCCAGTTTGTGGTATGTAGGTTTAGCTCTTTCAATGTCACTAATTTGTTTTGCTTCACCAACTAACCCAAAGCAAATTTCTTTATTTTTTGGGGACGATGGGAAATGATACCGTTATGCGAATTATGAATAAATAAAAGAAAACCCATGTAATGAAGTACCACTTCAGCTTCCTTGGCATCTTTTGCCTTCCAACAGACTAACTGATCTATGTTTGCCCAAGTTCTTGTGTTGGGTTACAAAATAGAAGTATGGCTTTTTCTTTATTCCCTTGTGTCTGCGGAAATTTTTCTCTTCTCAGGATTGATTGTAATTTGCAAGCGACCAGGGAACAATTGAATCAATTTCATTATATGCCAGGATGTCGAAGGCAAAAGGTAAGCTCAAAATGGCCCAATGAAAGTATTGAATTCCACCTGTTTTTTATTAGATGGCTGATTTACTAAGCATATAAGCTTTGCCTAAAACACAAGTGCTAATAAAAAAATAGAACGTGAAACAATTTTTTTTAGAAAGTTACGAAAAGGTGAAAGTATTACATATTCTGATATTATTATTATTATTATTATTATTATTATTATGAAATTAGAAAGAAAACATAGTAGCCAGAACCAAAACACTCTTTTTAACTTCTCTACATAACCCCTCTAACTTGTTGTAGCACAAATAAGACATTGCTGTAGTAATAGCCATGTATCCCTCGTATGAAAATCCATGCAATTGAAGCCATCAGCACAAGGCAATTTCCTCCCAGAAATACCTTCATTTTGGCTCCATTGTTGCTGCTAGGGGTTGCCTTTGATACCGACTTTGAACTGGTCCCACCTGATGAAGAAGAAGAAGTGGATGGGGATCCAGATAATGTTGGTGGGGAACTTCTTGTTGAAGTGCCACCTCGATCAGTTTCTTTGAAGATCTTTGCATCTGGCGAATCTGGTGGCAGATTCAGAATAGCTACAAGCATCATCAAAAACAACAATCAAATGTGGTTATATATGAAGTAATCATAAAGATTCAAATTAAAATAAAACCAACAAACGATAGAATTTCAAAATTCAGTTAAACAAGGTTCTCATTTTTTTTTTCCCTTGTTCTTTATTAAAGGACATACTAGGGCAATCGGACACTTTGGCATCAATTTTGCAAGCAGATGGCATTTGAAGTATTGACGGGAAGGCCCAAAGAAGGGTCAGTGCTCTCTTTGATCAGAGCGCACAAGCACTTGGGCTTGCTGGCCGTCACTTTCTGAGTATCTTGGCAACACTGTGGTTAGGGATGGCATCGGGTCGGGTTCGAGGCGGGTTTTGCTCGCCCCGAACCCGATTCGACCTGATTTTTTTAATATCCGAATCCGATCCGACACTATATAAATCGTATCAGACTCGAAATTAATAAAAATATTATTTTTAAAATATAAATTATTATTTTTTAAATATAAATATTTAAAAAATCATTATATAAATATATATAATTAATTAATTAAAAAATAATTTTTTAATAATGTCGGGTCGGGTAGGATCAAATTTTAGACATATCCGACCCCGATTATTACCTAATTTTACCTGACCCGACACCGACCCGAAACCCGAAATTAAAAAAAAAACCCGATTTTATAGTGTCGGGTCGAGCCGAAACCCGTCGGGGACGGGCTTGATTGCCGTCCCTAACTGTGCTGTTGGCTTCTTTGCAGTTCCACTCGCAAAGGGAATGCAAGATGCAAGATTGGCAAGCTGGTCGGCACACTCCTTCTCATCATCCTCCACTGTTGCCATTGATGCCATGGCCAATGAAGCCACTATTATGCATACCACCACCATCTTTAATTTGTTTAACCCCATCTTTGCCTAAAAACACTAATTTCTGCTCTTAATTTGTGGGAGTTTTCTGTTTTTAGGCAAATTGGATAGTAATTCCCTCTCCCTCTCTTCTTTTTTTTTTTTTGGTATGGTTTCTTCTTTTGTTTTTGAGCTTGCATTTCATAGGTATATATGGAGTTAGGGGATTTTGGTAATACTAGTCTTCCTGCTGCAATCATTTTAATAGTACTTATAATATAGAAAATAATTATGAGAAATTATTACATTCATTGATAATAAATTTTTTAAATTTGATATCAGAATTAGTAGAATGAGACATACTATTAGAGTCTAATAAAAAAAATAAAACATATGACAACTACCTAACCTCATTTATAAAGTAAAAAATTTCATTACCAGCATAAGCTGACTCTGCATATATTTTTCTTATCTTTTATCAGCAGGCAAAAAATAAGCTGAAATTGGTTGTTATAGAAGGGTAACACTTCATTTATGGAATGCCTTGAGAAATGGTATCCCATGTTCCAATGAAAGATGTAATTCAATTCAAGATTTATTGAGCTTTACCATTCCCAATATCATCCTCGTTCCATTTAAAGGTGGTCTTTATCTGCAACAGTGCAGCACAATCAACCCTGGGACTTTTATCTTTTGTTTCCAACACTTACTACAACCAAAAACTCAGAAGATGAAAAAACAATATTAAGTACGTTTGTCTTTAACCGTATGTTGATGGAAAAAACCTGCGTATGTGATATTACTTCTACCAAAATTTACTTCTGAAAATTATCAAAAGGTACTTTAATTACCATAAAAACAAACCAAAAAAACAAAAATGGAGCTTATGATGAGAACATCATTGGATTAACCTTCAGAAAAGAAAGGAGCAGCCAGGTGGAATTTTAAAATTCAAGTCCATTAAAAATGAACAAATCGACAGGATTGTATTTAAGTATGATGTATATTATCGTAGTCCGAATGTACAATCTTTGCTGTTTCTCATTTTGTTGGTCTTCTAGAATTGCTAATATGAGCAAGTTGCAGAATGGAACGAGGAGAGGAAAGTATGTGGAAGGGTGGTGTGATTATCAGACAAATGCCAATAGCAAAAAGCAATCCCTCATTTCTTCGACAAAATTGTGCATTTGCAAAGCGGACAGACTGCTTTAATCTTTAGCCATTTATCTACACAGCTGGAATGGAAGAAATGAGAGCAAGGGAGCTCCTTCAGCACATCATTATCCGCATAACTTGCCAAACAAATGCAACAAACCTGCATAACGTCCATATAACATAAGCTGAAGATTGTTTCGACCGAAAGCAAAATAATATAACAATACTACTAATACTTCCTGCATAAACATTAAACAAAGTACTAGTCTTATGAGTGAAATTACTGCATCATCCCCTGAAATAGCACATTCCTTTTCATCTCCTGCTGCTTCAACCCCTCCTTTAACTTCTGAATTGATTGTCCTTATGCTGCCACTACCATCTTTCTGTAACTTGAAAGTGTATGTTGGCAGAGAATTGATGCATTCTGAAGTGGCTCCTCTAATTAGACCTAGGTCTCCACAGCAGCATGCTAAAACAGCACACAGGATGAAGGGCATAGTAAACTCAAGATAGCTAAAGACAAGAAACATTACACATAACCTACAATGAAGCCAAAGAAACTGGTTTATTTCCAGACACAGAAAAGCCCAAAAATAATAGCATAATACTTATACAGGCTAGTGTTGATACCTGCGCAAATTTGGAGCCCCTGGAGAAGGGTACCCCCCGAATAGCCAAACATTGCCAATTACAAACCAGATAAAAAAGTACACTTTTACCATCCATTTAAAGCGCTCCAAAAATCTGCTAAGCCTGCCAAGATATCATGCAAAATGCTTCAGCTGTCGAACATAAGATTGATGAAAGGTCTGTATAAAACACTCGGAAAAGCGAAAAGTCAATGTTAGGACCAAACAGAAAAGAACTAGTAAATGGACTGATATACACATACTGTCTGAAGGTTAAATTTACTCCTGAACTACAGGTTCAAATCTTTCTTAAACATAACCACATCAATAAATGGATTTTTGAATGTTTATTGGTTTTTCAGTAACACTAACAGCAACTGTGGAAATTATCCAAATAAGATATCACACTGCAGAAAAGAGCACTCCTCTCATTGAAAATATAAAATGTAAAACATAAACGATGAAAACATTTCATATGAATGTAGGATGAATCGATGAATTATTTCTTCCATTGCTAGACAAGCCAAATGCAAAATTTTCTGATACCAGACATTCTAACACACATGAATATCAGTACATCACTTTCTATAGGAAAACATGACTAGTTGCAAGAACAAGAACCAAACTTCAAGTTGAAGTAAAAAAGTTCAGAAACTAAGACATGTAAAGGAGATCATGCAACATGAAGCCAACTGTTGCTAGTCAAAGAAGCTTCCAGTATGAAGTTACATGAGTCTTTGGTAGCAAGGACAAAGTTAAACAATTTTGTCAGGCTTGATAACTTCTGTTAGAGGCCATGGCAAAAATTTCAAACCTCCCAATTTCCATTCTTCTAAGATAGTTATTATATCAATTCAGCATGGAATATGGGGAGAATGGAATAGCCATTCGCCCCCAACCAAGGCAAAGTAAATGTAATTCAAGCAAATGATTCCAAACCAAGAAGAACAGAACACTGAGAAACCATCTTAAACTATAAATAAGTAATTATGCACATTACAGAGGATTTAGCATCAAAATTTGTCCAACAAGAAGGTAAACACTTACACGGGATATGGAAGAAAACAATGATGGAATAGGATGGGAATACTAGCAGCACACCCCACTGCATAACCCACAATCCAAATGGACAATGGAGCTTGATGCTTCTCATTCCTCGAAACTACTAGAACAGCCATTGATGCAGCAATCTGAGTTATATTAAAAACTAGTCTAATGTAAATCCAAAAGCTAAAAGATGATATAAAACTCCCATGACTAGATCCACCAGAGGGGGTAGGCTGAATCACAGGTCCTTGAGAATTCCTTGAAAGAACATTATTCCCATGTTGAACATCATTTGGAATATCAAGAACATGATCATTTTTGTCATGGAGGTTCTCAAGTGGCTGCTCCATTTGGAAAAGTTCTTTTCTTGCTTTTTTAAGTTGAGAAGCAAGAGAAGCAGCATAAGTGAAAGCCTTTGATCGATTGTTCTTCTTTTCTCTCAATCTTTAGCAAACCAACAAAAAACTGTCCTCTGTTAAACCTCCAATTTCTGATGCATATCTACTTTTATAAGTAAAAAAATTACAGCTTCCAAACAAGAATTTTTGTTCATAGCAAAAAAATAATAATTAAAAAAAGACAAATTATACATATTTGTCTTCCTTTCCTCGAATTTCTCAGCAACTAAAACTATAAAACAATCGTTTCATCCTTAGCTAGGAAAAAACCGCCACAAATACCAAAGAATCTTAAACTCTTGTTGAGAAAAACCAAATTAATGTAAAAATATTCTTTTTTTTTTTTTTTGGCGTTCTCTTTCTTCATTTTTCCCAGCAACCAAACATGTTTCCAATTTCTCAGGACTCAAAGAAAATAAAAAAGTTTAACTCAATATTGTGCTAAAGTTCAAATTTATTCCATATTTTGATTCAAGTATTTCTCTTTTATTACTTCAAAAAAACAAGTATTTCTCTTTTCTTTTTCCAGTTTTCTCAACATCCAAACAACAAGCAACAGCTTACATGTACCGGTATTTTTAACTTAAAAGCAGCCAGGAATTAACAACTTATCAAAAACCAAAATTTTTTATTTATATTACAGAATAAAGAGTTTTAAAAAAAATCTGCTCCAAGATTGAAAAAACTGTAAATTTATGTTTATACATTATTTTTTATTTTCTTTTTCACTACAAGAGAGAATAAAAATTAACCCAAAAAAAGGACTTACAGTATCTATTTGGTTTTTGCCACTTGACCATCCAGTGTTTGGAGGAAGAGAAAAAAATAGGAGCAAAAAATCTGATCAAGGTAAGACTTTTGAAAGAAGAAATAAAATAATAAAGAAAATAAAACAATAGTACTTATTTTGACGTTTTGAGCTTGTTTTCTTGTCCATTTCCCCCTTAACTTCGAAATCCAAACGGGGTCTTACAACAACGATCCCTCCTTTAATTCTTACCGTATACAAAGGTCGGGATCAGCATACGGTTTAAAATTTTTTTAATTTTATATATTTTTAATCATTAAATTTCATATATTTATATATAATATATTGAGTGAATGGTTTGATTGCCACCAATTTTTTGTGTAATTGTTCATGTTGCAAATAATCCAATTTATGTACCACTAAGTTTTTTTGGGAATTAAATTTTACATTGTAAGCACTTAGTTTTTTTTATTATCATAATCAATGTTATTACAATGACAAGTATAATTTTTTTCTAAATGGGTTTTGGACAGCATCAATATTTTTCTTGTAAAAAAAAATTTATAACTTTATTATTTTATAAAAAATTATTTTTTATCAAAAAAAGAAATAAAGAAATAGCCATAAATATGCCCTATGATTTTTGGGAAACATATGGTAGAATTTTGAAAGCTTTGTTCTTGTGCTACACAACTACATAAGTATAGTCTTGAAGGTTCATTTTTTGTGTTTTTAATTGAGGAATGTAGGAACTTTCCTTCGGGCCTATTTCGTAACAACTAACATATGATAAAATTATAATAATAAACTATTAACTCAATTGATAAGATTATTCTTTTTAACGGAAATAATTTTTATTCAAATTTAATCGATAATTTTTTATTAAGATTATTTTAAAAATATAATTTACGGTCATTATTTTTTAAATTGTTAAATATGATATTTTTTATTTTGATTTAGATATTGAATAATTTATTTATTTATAAATTTTAAAAAAATTATAAACTTAGTTCACAAGACATGGATGTGGTTTTGAGGAATCCAGTAAGTTAAATATTTCTCTTCTTCCAGCACATTCAAACCATTTTCCAATTTTCCTAGCCATCATATCTTGTTACTTAAATCAATTTAATCTTTAATTTAGATCTAAAATAAGTAATTTCCATTTTTATTTATATATCTTACACATGTAACTAGGGATGGTATCGGATCGGGTTTTGCTCGCCTTAAACCCGATCTGATTTTATGCTTTAGCATACCCGAATTCGATCTTATCCAATTTTTTTAATATTCGAACCCGATTCGATACTATGTAAATTGTACCCGACTCGTCCAATTCGAAATTAATAAAATATTATTTTTTAAATATAAATATTTAAAAATATCATTATATAAATATAATTAATTAACTAATTTAAAAATAATTTTTTATATAATATCGGGTCGGATTTTAGGCATATCCGAACCCGATTCGACCCCGATTATTTTTTAATTATATCCGATCCGACTTTATGCTTTAGCATACCCGAATCCGATTTTATTCGATTTTTTTAATATCTGAACTCGACTCGATACTATGTAAACTGTACCCGACTCGTCCGATTCGAAATTAATAAAATATTATTTTTAAATATAAATATTTAAAAATATCATTATATAAATATAATTAATTAATTAATTAAAAAATAATTTTTTATATAATGTCGGGTCGGATTTTAGGCATATCCGAACCCAATTCGACTCCGATTATTTTCTAATTATATCCGACCCGACCTAACCCAAAAACTAAAATTTAAAAAAAAAAAAATCTGATCCCATAAGATCAAGTCGGCTGAAGCTTGTTGGAGACGAGGTTGATTGCCGTCCGTACATGTAACGATGAATACATAAAAAAAAGGAACCAAAAAAAAAGTGGACAGAGCGAACACTCCGGTGTAGAATCAGAACAATTTGCATAGCATGGTTTCGCCTCAGCTCAGTTTGAAAATGCATGAATTCGGGCCTTTGTTGTTTAGTCCGGCTTTTAAAAAACAGTTTGGCCCAGAAAAATATAGCCCAAAAGGTTAGTAAAAGGTTTAAGAGTAATGTATGGCTAATGGTTGTCATTGGGCCAGTGTAAATGGCCTCTCCACAAGAATAATAGCCCATATGGTTGGGCTAATATCGCCTAGTAGAACTTCAATGATCATTTTTAACATGAAACATAAATTTATTTTATAACCTAAAGAGAAAATTTTCAACTAAAACGTATTTCTGACCCCATGGCCCATTTTCATAGATATTAAAAGCTTTCGCTTGATTGTTGTTTTTTTGTTTTTTTTTTTTTATTTTTTAGGTAAAAGGATGAAAATTTTTTAAAATAAAGATATAGTAATCATTTAAAATTTTTTGTATTTTATTATAATCATTTAATTTATAAATTTTTTATTTCAAATCAGTTGGACCTTTGAACATCTAGTTTTGTCTAATTGAATCTTTAAATATATATATATATATATATATATTTCATTCAATTAAAGTGTTGATTGAACAGAAACAACTAAATATTTTATCTAACAATAACTTAATGATAGATATTTCAGGATTTAATTGGTTAAAAAAATAAAATATTGGATGATTATTGAATTTTAATTTAAAGATCTTTTAATCCTTTTATCTTTTTTATTTATCTCTTATTTTTAATTATTTTTTAATTTTAAGTTTTCACTTTTTACTCAAAAAAAGGTAAAAACACCAAATCAAACAGAGCCTATAATAATAATAATATTTTAGATAGAACCTATATATCATTGTTGGATGCATTAACGTTGCCGGTCGAATTAGCAAATGACAAAGGTTTGTCAACAACAATATAAGGCTGTATTGAATTAAGGTAGGCAGCCTGTCACTTATGTTTGATCATTGGTATAGGTACATAATCCCCTTTCATCACGTTTAATGGGTCCAATTGAAATTATTTGCATGCATAAAAAAATGAAACCATCATTCAGACATTATTTGCATATATATAATATATTGTTATCATGTCATGTGATCATGATTAGAATTGTTTAAAGGTTGGTCCATTCATTCAAATCTAAAGATCTGTTCAAGTTTTAAAAGAGTTTAGATCAAAAATTAAATTTTTTTAAATATGTTTAGGCATAATTTTTAGGTTTGTTTAAATTTTTAACCAAACTTTGAACAAAAAAATTAAAGTTAAAGCTCAACCCGAATAAAATATATAATTAAAATATTATAATTATATAAGTATATATATATATATATGAATTTTTATTTTTTTAAAAAAAATTTTTTAATTTTTTTATTATATAAATTAGGTTTAATGCGTAGATTTAAAATTTATTTTTTAATTTAAATCGGATTTGAAAATTTTTAAGATACGAAATATCAAGTAAGATTAGGTTTAGGTAAGTATATAAATTATTAATATAAAGTATAGATCCAATCCAAACTTGATCCAACCTAGTTTATGAACACCTCTAATCATAACAATGTTTGAAAGCAAATGGCAAATGCATTCTTGTAATGTATAATAGAATTAAACGATGTTTCATTGTGATATTATTTTTTTATTTTTTAAAATTATGCTTTAAATATAAAAAAAATAAAATTTTTATATCAAACTTGAATAGATGATAACATTTAGACAAATATAAGTGTATTTCTTTAAAACTAAATAATAAAATATTTAAGAAATGTAGATACAATTTAAAGGCAAACATAGAGATATCAATGAGTAAGGGATGAAAATGGTAGAGCATTCCCTATCTCCATCCCCATATTTTTATATTATACCTATCCATATTCTTAGACCTAATGTGTATTTTAATTTATCTTCATTGTCATCTCAATGGGTATTTAATGGGTCTTGAAAATCCCTAAACTTATATCTTTTTTAAAAAAATAAAAATAAAATTTTATTTTTATCTTGTATATTTAAGTAATTTTTTATAAAAATATATTCACATATTTTTTCAATAAAAAAATATTCATTCTAATTAATCTAAAATAATAATTTATATTATTTAAATACAAAATATATTTATTAAATATATATAAATATATACATATATGTAGCGTATGGATATAATACGGGTGCTATATACTATTCATATCTCTGTATCCAATAAAAATTTAATATTATACTCATCCCCATACTCATAATGTAATAGTCATTCCTATCTCTATTCGAGTAACAAATCAAATTTCTTATTGAGTATAGGTAAAATTGATATCTTTAGGCAAACATAACTACATATTCTCATTGGACTTCAACCTCATCGGAGCACTTCCCATTTCACTGTTAGGAATAATGACTCAAATCCCATAAAAAATTTGTTTGAGATTTGTCAAATATTACTTGATGGACAATAAGATTTAAAAAGAAGAATTCTAAGAGAAAGGAGATTCTTAATAGGTAAGTTTGACTTGCAAGAGAAAAATTCTAAAAGAAAATAGATTCTTAATAGGTAAGTTTAACTTACAAAAGAAAAATTTTAAGAGAAAAAGGATTCTTAATGGGCAAGTTTGTATGGTTATAAATAGGTGAAGTCTCTACAGGGTTAGATACGAGAAAAAGATGTAAGAGAGTTGTAGGATTTTATGGGATAGACACCTCATAGGAGTATTGGCACTCTACATCTTATGGGTGTGTATGTTTATTTGTGAGTAGACTAAAAGAGACTGAAAGGGTCCATATAGGTATGATGTATGGGAGCATATAGGTATGTGTTTGGTTATGTTGAAAGAGTGCACAAGGGTTTAGGTTTATATTTGTTTGGGTTGAGAATACTTCATAAAACTAGAGGAGATTGAGAATATCTTATGAGTATTTATTGTTGAGTGAGGTTGATGATTTAATGTAAGTTTGTAATTCTCTACAATTAGTGGATCTTGTTTCTCATCCATGGACGTAGGTTGATGGGATCGAACCTCATTAAATTGTTATCTCTTGTGTGTTTGATTTCGTTTCTGCTGGTGTGATTGGATTGGAGGCTTTTAGCCCAACAAATGATATCAGAGTTGTGGTGTTTTCCAACAAGTGATATCATAGCTGTGGTGTTCCCCAACAAGTGGTATCAGAGCTGAAGGTTCGAAACGTAAGAAGAGTTAAAGATTCAAGATGTGAAAAGAGTCGAAGGTTCAAGACGTGAAAAGAGCTGAAAGTTTAAGATGTGAAAAAAGC